GCTCGCTGCACCCGATGGCGGCTGCGGATACGTCTGCGGATACGTCTGCGGATGCGGCAGAAGGGGTGCCGCCTGCTGTATCGGCCCACTGCGACGTTGGCGTCGGTTGGGCGTCGGTCGAGGGGGGCGAGAGGATGGGGCGGATGGGGGAAAGAGATCAACAGCCTCGTTGAGTGTGTGCACTCTCTCGGTATAATCACGTGCAGACACTCGGGGAACGGCGACCGGGGCAAGGGTGTGCACGTCGTAGGTGGGAGCGGCGGTGGAGGCATGAGTGACGAGAGCGGTTTCACGGAAGCACTAGCGAGCTGAGCTCGCAGACTCAGAAAAGTCAAAGGGAGAAGGGGGATCTCTGTGCGCATGGCATAGGTCGTCTCTACTCGCGCCAGATCTGTTGGCAAAGAGCCATGATAATTCCCGTGCGGTGCTTCACGTGTGGGAAGGTCATCGGCCATCTGTGGGAGAAATACGTCCACCTCATCGCTGCTGACAAGACAGAAGGGTAGGTACTTGGGACACGCACCACATACATAGAGTGTCATTCATCGCCTGTTTGTGTCTGCCTGCCTGCCTGTCTGTCTGTCTGGCTGATGCAGGGAGGCGCTGAATGAGCTGAATCTGAATCGGTACTGCTGCCGGCGGATGCTCCTGACGCACGCAGACCTCATCTCCAAGCTGCTCAACTACAACAGTGAGCCAGCCACACCCACATGCACCGGCACCCACACGACAGCCGACACACACATAAGACGACACGGCCGTTTGTTTCTGTCTGTCTGTCTATTCGCTCTCCCTCTGCTCTGCTGTGTGTCCTCCCTCCCTCTCAGTGTACGAGAAGAGGACCGACTACTGAATGGCCGAGTGGCGAGGGCCAGGGAGGAAGGGAGGGAGGGGAGGATGGTTGCCGCTGGTGGTGTGGTCTTCGTGGGGTGACTGACTTGGATTGGATGATGTCCATATTATCATGTGAATGGAATGACCGACTGGACTGACTCGCTCTTCTCGTCTGTGTGTACTCGAACCAACTTCCCTGTTTAAATGAGAGAGATGAGATGCTACACGTGGTAGTCTGTCGGTGTCCTTCTCCAAACACACACACATACCATGCAGCATGATGCCTGCAGCCAGCCAGTCGATCACTCGCTCACATGCGTCCGTCCTTGAATGCACTCGATGCGTCCAAACCAACCCAAATCAACCAGCCAGCCACCCCGTAAACGACCAGTCGACGACCTATGGACGGGGGGAGGGGAGAGGGGATGGATGGACGGATGGATGGATGGAGACATACACAGGTGCCATCCATCCATCCATCCATCCATACAAACACACTCGCCCGGTCGCTCGCCCGCATGCTGCAACCAAACCAGCCAGACAACCTTCGTGATTGCCCCCACTACTGACTGACTCGCTCACTGCAACGAGGAAGGAAAAGGGTGATGATATGGATCGATGGTGTGGTCAATGGGTGTGGTGAGAGGGTAGGTAGGTGGCCTTGAAGGCCTTCCTCCCTCGTCTGGTCTGGTCCTTTGCTCTCCTTCCCCCTGCCCTGAACTTCCCCTTCGCTAGGCATACGAACATCCATCCCACGGAAGGCAGACCTGGTCAGTATGATGATGACCAGACAGCCAGGCAGCCAGAGAGGCAGACAGCCATAAGCGTGTGGGTGAGGGAGGGAGGGAGGGAGGAGGGAATGACCAGTCATGGCATGGCATGGCTGGGCGGTGGTGGTACTGGTGTGGCGCGTGTGGTGGAGTGGGGGACGATAAACGGATGTGTGGATGCATGTCATGTGTGAACCGTACGCCGGAAGAAACGACTTAGATGCTCACTCAAGTGCTGCTGCGTGTGCCGGTGCCATTTCCCGCCAACAACTCCTGCAAGATCCGCATGCTGTTCATCACATCACACAACCACACACAGACAACAAAGCGTGCAGTGTTTGCCCACCCACCCAACGACCCGCCTAACGACCCACCCCTCCATCAAGACGTACCTGACTTGTTCACACATGCCTGTGGTCTGCTGGCCGCCGCCGCCCAGTAAGAACCCCTCGTCGGCCCTGGGTGGCCGCGGGAGGAGGCTCTTGCCCTTGCCCTTGGGCGGCCTCAGCTTTGGCGCTGCCTGCTGCTGCTGCTGCTGCTGCTGCAGCTGCTTGTTGATGCTATTGATGTTGAACAGGTCATGCACCGACATCTGCTGCTGCTGCTGCTGCCGCTGCTGCCGCTGCTGCTGTTTGTTGTCCCCGCTGTCCTTGACAGCCAGCTGGGACCGCCATTGGTCGAGCGACTCGGAGAAGGACAACCATGCGTTGGCGTTTGTCGGGGGACGCCGCACAGTGACCGAAGGGGGCACTGAGGGGAAGGGGAGACGGACGCATGGCCAGAGGGAATGTAGGTGCCTTGCCTTGTCAGCATCGTGTGGTGGTGTACCTGAGTGTCGGTTCTCGCCAGTGTCTGGGCTGTTCGCAACAGCGGCGCTCCTCTCGGCGTCGGTCATGGTCTGGGCGAGGTGCTCGAAGCGACTCTTGACCTGCAGATCGTAACGGCCTGATCAGACATACGGACAAAGCCACGGAATGCAACACAGTTGCTCAGTGGTGCTCTTGGTGGGCCAGTGGCTCACCGGGCAGCTCGATAGCGATTTTGGCCCATCTGTTGCCGACCTCCTTGTGCTTCAACAAGATGATGCGGTCCTCCTCCTCGGTCCACGCACCACTGTAACCCCCCACCACACAACACCATGTGTGGACGTGTGTGGCTGGTGCGGGGTGGGGTGTGTGTATGGAATGGAATGGTGTCATGTGTGTAGGTACCGACCGGTTGATCTCCGGGTCTAGGCAGCGAGTCCAGCGAAGACGGCACTGCTCGCCTGACACACAACAAACACAAGAAGTAAGAGCGAGTGAGTGACTAGGCCCGTGCGCGTGTGAGGGCGTGTGTGTGTGTGTGTGTGTGGTGGGCGTCCACACCAGTGCGTCCGGTGGACACGGGACTCTTCGATAGCTTCAACGCAATGTCAACCCAGCTGCATCAAACACACCACACCATGCCGCGCCATGCCACGCCATGCCACGCCATGCCACGCCATGCCACGCAAAGCCGTCAAGTCGTTCGTGTGTGGTGCCTGAGGTGTGCCTGAGGCGTTGCTTACTCTCTGTTCTGCTGCGGCCGGTAGATTTGGACGAGCTCGAAGAGCATGTCGTCCTCCTCCTCTCGCCAAGAACTAGGCGACACTGACGCCGTCTGATTGATGGACGCACACACACACACCGAGAACACAACACATACATGACCACTCCCTCCCGCGGCCGCCTGATTGCGTCTGTCTGTCTGCAACGAACGGACCTTGACAGCCTGGAACTTCCACTTATTCAGCCTCTGCCGTGCGAAGGGGTGCTGCACCACCTCCCTGCCCTCCTCCTCCTCATCGCCCTCGCCGCCCTCCATCTCGTCCTGACGCCGCTTGCGGACCAGACGGTGCAGCCGTGCGGAGGGACTGTGGTCACTCGCACCCATGCTCATGCTCAGGGGAGGGGCCAGGGGAGGCACCACGAGCGACTGGCGAGTCAGCAGGGAGGCCAGCAGGTGCGAGGAGGCTGCCAGCGGTGCCAAGGGGGGGAAGAAGCCCTGCGAGACGCCGCTGGGTTTGGGGAGCTCCTCCTCCTCCTCGCCACTGGCGTCGTCAACTCCTTCCTCCTCGCCTGACCGAGCAGCACAGCAGTCAGGACGACGGTATGGCATATATATGGCACATGGCATTGCGTCCTCTCGTCCGCCTTTGCCCGCACTCGTGAGTCGTGACACTGTGAGGTAGGTACCTGAGTGCTTCTCCATGCCGCTTCCCCCGTCAGGCTCCCTGTCGGCCTCCCTGTCAGCCTCGTGTGAGCCTCTCGTGTGTGCGGTGTTGGTTGCCTCCTGTCGAGAGGCGTCGTGTCGAGAGGCGCGCGATGCCGTCACCGACCCACAGCCTTCCTTGACGTCATGACGGCCAGTATCCATTGTGTGAAGGCCTCGGGGAAGGCAAATACTCCGCCTATTTCAAGCCGACCAAGCCCCTCCTCCAGTTTCCAGGGAATGTAAATTTCCTCGAGGAGAGGAGGGCGGCGACGCAAAACTGCTTTATGTACACACAGATATGTATAGCGTCTGTCTGTCTGCTATGCTACAAACACAGGCAAAGTCCGCTCACTCAGTCAGTCAGTCACGCGCGAAAACACGGCAGGCACAGCCACGCACACTCAGACGGCACTCACTACTGGACGCATTGATTGCAGCCGTCCGTGGTCAGTCAGGTCACTCTGCGGGCGCCAGGTCCTCTCGCTTGCGCCGGGCAGGGTCCCTGATACAACTGAACATAAAACTCACACACAACACACAACCAACTCATCTCCGTGCGACCTGAAACGGGTGCTCTCCGATTACCACTGGATGTGCGGCTTCAGCTGGTCGCTAGGCACCTTCTCCCCACAGACCGGGCAGCACCCCTCCTCCCCTCCGCCACCCTCGCCAGCCCCACTCTCATCCTTCCACCCAACCCCACTCCCACCTTCACCCCCACGCGCAGGCGACTCCGAGTCGTCCGTCAGGTCCACCACTGCAGCAGCACCAGCAGGTGCTGCTGCTGCCGGTGGCGGTTTGTCCTCCTCCCTCTTGCTGCGCTTCACGAAAGCGTCGAGGGTGCCCTGCCGCCCACCACGGTCCTTGTTGCCGACTGCATTGGGGCCGCCCTTCTTCGATGGCGAGGGCAGGACGATCTGGATGTCATCGCTGTCGACGTCAGCGGGTTTGGGGGCGGCAGGGGGTGGCGCCTTGCGCTTCTTGGGTGCGTCGGGAGGGGGCTGGTCGGGGGAGGGTGAGGAAGGGGGCTGGCCCTGGTCTTGGCCCTGGCTCTTCCGCTCCTGCACCTTCTTGAGATACTTGTCGATCTCCTGCAGCCCCGCTATCGGCTTCTTCTTGCCTGCACAACAGTCAGGAGAGTGCAGTGTAGGCACAACACCGGTCGGTTGGTCAGAAATAGGATGGATCAGTGGGTGTGGTGTCTTGTGGTTGGTTGGTTCCCCGCCGCTGTCTCAGTTGCTCACTCCCTGACTCCCTCCCTCCCTCACTCACCGTTGCCACCGGCAGTTGCCTTTTTTGGCGGCTTCTCCGGCTCGCTGACCTTCTCGAAGGTCCCGCCACACGTGGCCTGGTGCTGCGCCCACCACCGGTCCGCCTTCTGAGGCGGCCTGCATGGCACGCACACACACACGCACATATGGCATGGCAACACCACACTCGGTGTGACTGACTGAGTACCGCCCCCACCCGCCCGCCTACCTACCTGTTCATGGCGCGTTTGACCCATCCGTAGAATGGCGGCTTGTGTCTGCAGGGCCCGTTGCAGCGCCACACGTGTTTGCGGTAGTGATTGACCTCGTCCCTGAAGTTGTGGTACACCGATATGTTGAACCCTGTGTGCAAGTGAGATAAGGCAGACATCACACAACACACACAGTCACATCACTCAGTGATGCACTGTGGCGGCATCGCATCCATCGCTCTTTCTTCCCCCATCCTTCCAGCCGCAACCACCGGCCGACCAGTGAGTGCATTGATGCGGTACATATGCTCGTGGAAACTCTGCCCCCATACACACACACACACACACACGACCAAGGACAGAACAGACCCACCATGCAATGCAGTCGTCAGCCTGGTCTGTCTGATCACGAGCAAACCGTACCGACCGGTCCGTGTGCGTTGTGGTCTCTGTTGTTTGCCGTGACGAAGAGATACGCGTGGATCATCTCATGAAGTAGAGTCTCCTGCACCCAGACAGACAGACAGACAGAATCGGTTTGTCACAAGAGAGTGCCGCCACGGTGCTGCGGCGGGGTGGTCACCTACCTTGTATTCCTTGACGGAGCGATACTTGAGCAGAGGCTCTGACAGACGAATCGAGCAATACCCTGACGCATTCTGACACACAGCACAGCACACCACACCACGGCACAGCACACCACGGGGCCGACGTGCACCACCAGTTGTGTTGCTTCTCATCCATCCCTCGTCCGTTGCTGACTGACCTGGTACACGCACAGCCCAGCGCAAAGAGTCATCTTGGTTGACCAGCGCACCTCACACGCCAGCAGCAGGCCCGAGAAGAACTCCTGGTTGTATCGGAGGAACAGACCATGGAGGTCAGGGAACACCTCATCTGTCCCCAAAGGCAGCAGCGCCGCAGAAGAGGGCGGCTCGGCCTCCGGCTGCTCCTTGGCCTCCCTCTCGAGCTCATCCTGCTCGGCCAAGGCAAGAGCTAATGCCAACTCCTCGTCATAGTCGATGCCGTCCCCTGTCAAATCAACGGCAGCGTCTGCCATCGGTAGCTACACGACTGTGTATTTCTCCCCCTGTCTTCCTCCCATCATTAAGCTCGCAGATCCCGATCGGCCCTTCTTTCTCCCCGTTAACGCGGTCTCTTCGTGCCCTGGCTGTCAAGTTCACCGTCACCTCACCTGGACTAACAGATCTGAGTCGCAAGTTGGACAAAACTCAGTCAGCATGATGAAGGCGTACCTGTTCGCTTACAACATGGCGGTGGCTGCGGCGTGGCTGTGGGTGGGTGTCGTGTGCGCCATGCATCTCGCGCAGAACGGCTGGTCGAGGATTGATCTCTTCTGGGGGATGGCGGAGGTGCCTCTGAAGATAGCCCAGACGGCCGCCGTCCTGGAGGTGGTGCACGCCCTCTTTCAGCTGGTCAAGTCGCCCGTCATGACCACTCTGGCGCAGGTGCTCTCGCGGCTGCACATAGTGTGGATCATCTACCAGTTCATCCCCTCCACCCACACCTACTGGGTCACCCTCCACACCATCGCCATGTGGACCCTCGCCGAGCTGATTCGCTACCCGTTCTACGCCCTCAATCTCTATGGCTGGGCCCCAAAGGCCATGCTGTGGCTGAGGTACTCGGGGTTCTTGGTGCTCTACCCTTCAGGCATTGCCGGGGAGTTGGGATCCATCGTCCATGCCCTCTTTTATATGAGTGCGCACGAGGAGTTCCGGACCTTCCCCGAGCCGATGCCCAACCGCTTCAACTTCACCATCGACCTGTGGCTGGCCTATGTGGCGATGCTGCTGACCTATGTGCCGGGCACGGTCATTCTGTTCTCGCACATGCTCACACAGAGGAAGAAGTACCTCGCAAGTACCAAAGACAGGGACAGGAGCAGCAAGGGGGAGTAGCCAGATACATAGACAGACAGACACAGGTTGGTGTGTGTGTGTGTGTGTTGGGTGGCTGTAACATAGCTACGTGCAAACAGCAAGAGAACAGGCAGGCAGGCAGGCAGTCTGTTGATCGCTGTCAGTCAATGGTTTGTCAAGCGAGCGCGAGACCGATGTGTTCTTACTTTCTTTCCACAGATTCATTCTTGTCTATTCTACCCACCTTAATGTGTAGCGCGGCAATGCGCTCATCGCACCTAATGGATCGTATGATTTTCGCCGGCCTTGGCCCGTCAGTGCTGTCTGTCTTCCTGTGCTGGTGTCACTGGGTGCATCGCCGTCGACGGCCTCCCCCTGACCGACAGCCATGTCAGGCCGTGGGTCGCGGTGGGGCTGCTGGCGTTCAGGTGCGAGTGACATAGTACCCAGACGGCAGAGAGAGCATGGTTGTGGTTGGGTGGCTGATATGATGCCTGCGTAAGTACCCGTCCGTTGTGTGTCCGCCGTCCAAACGACAGATGGCCTGCCTGGCTGTATTTCGTGTGTACGTATCTGTGCATGTGGCCATGCACATGCATCAAGGCGTCATTTTTGATTAATCGATGACGTGGACTCAGATCTGTTAATCATGTGTGTGGTCAGGGAAGTGTTGTGGATGAAACTGCATTAGTGCATCAGCTGTGCACTCGCGGGACTGCGAGCGCCTCTGAATTGATCATCGCCCGTCTCCTCCGGAGGCCCGGATCGAGCAGCAGATCTTTCTCGGGTTTGCTGGCAATTAATCCCTGTCGACGAGAGATGTCTGCACCAGTGCGTGTGAGTGAGGGAGATCTGGACGACACCCTCCTCTACCATATCTGGGAGTTCATCTCAGGCAAGGCTGGCGGCTCGGCTCTCACGTGGAATCAATCAATGCACCTCAGGAACTGATGCACCGCGTGCACCGCTCTGTGTGTATGCGTCTGTCTGTGTGCCATGCAGGCGAAGAAATCGCTGCGGGACCCGCTGCAGGTAGCTAGCTAGGCACATCCCTGGATGGAGTGGGCGGCGGGCAGACAGGCAAGCAATAGAGCGAACGAACGGTGTGGTGTGCCTGGGTGTGTGTGCAGTCAACGCTCGGTGGGCTGCTCTCGCTGATCCCGACACATCAGCGCCACTCTGGAGGCTGCGCGTAAGCCATGCAGCTTGACTGACACACATTAATGCCCACCCACATGCGCACACACACACACGTACGCGTCTACATGAAGACACGTAATTAAGGTATGTCTGTCTGTCTGTTTGTCGCTCTATCTTTGCCTGCCTACCTGCCTGGCTGCCTTGGTGCTGCCCTACTGGCCGGCCGCATGCAGTATCAGGACACCTTCAGCCATTTGCCTGTGCGCACGGTGGCCGGGAATGGCCACTTCCACCCCACGCCGGCACCAAGTGTGCCGGTGGCGGCGGCGGCAGCGGCTGCAGCTGCTGCCTCTGCCAGTGGCAGTGCATCATCGCCCGCAGCAGGGGCAGGTGTGTGAGTGGATGGGATGGAGCACTAGGTCGACCATGCACACCCACACACGCGCATCCATGTGAATGACTGCTCGTTCAGGTGGCGGGGAGGGCCAAGGTGAGGCTGGCGGTGACGGTGACGGTGACGCCGTCACCGAATGGCAGTACCGTGAGGCGTATAGGAGAGCTGCGGTGCGACACATACATAGGCAGGCCATACAAGCTGCTTACCCATTCTGTCCTTAAAATTGCAGGAGTTGTGTGACCTGACGGAGAGCCGGCAGCATGGCGGTCTGGTGTGGGGCATGGCCAAGTACACTGAAGATATGGGGCAGGATCAGGCGATGGACATGGAGAGGGAGTGCCCCAAGATATGGATCGAGAGCAGGGCGGAATACCTCTACGCATACGGTAGGTACCGTGGGTGTGACAGCTGTGACAGCCATAGAGAGGGAGGGAGGGAGGGAGGGAGACGGTCAAGGACACGTGTCTGTTCTGTGTGTATGGGTAGGAGGCTGGTCTTCATCTGGGGGCCCATGCAACGACCTTTGGCGGTAGGTACCTTACCAATACGGACAGACGCAGAATGACCGAAACGCAGCCAGCGATGGGAGCGTAGCGTATTGTGTGTCGCTCTCTCAGTTTGCCGCTGCCCTCCCTGCTGTCGACGGGCGAGTACAGCTGGTCGGCCTGCCGCACACACAACACGCCCCCACCGCCATCCTACGGCCAGAGCGTCACGCCGGTATTCGACATCAACAAGCCGCTCAACAAGGTAGGTGTAAAGAAACACTCACACAGAACAGACATGCGAATGCTGCCGGCATGGCATGGCATCGCATGGAAGGCCGCACAGTCGATCGCTCACATCACATGGCTGCTGCTGTGTGTCTGATCTGCTCAATGAAACTGTCAGGGTGCGCCCCAGCCCCCTGATCGATTGTTTGTGAACGGTGGCTACCTGTCCGGCGGTCGGTACTCGTGTGACTGACATACATATGGGATGGATGGGTGTGGTGTATCTGGGGGCGGTGCGGTGTCTCGTTCGTGTGTATGTGTGTTATACATAAGGTTACCGGAATGAGAGCGACGGTTGGGGTGTGCTCGAGATGGCCTACCTGGATGGCAAAACCGACGACAAACCCTCTGACACAAAGGACGATGTGAGCACAGCACAGCGCCCATACGGGGTCAGGCAGAGAGCGGGATCGGTCAGAGCAATCTCTCCCTGTCTGTCTGTCTGTCTGTCTGTCTGGGTACACAGGAGGCGGCTTCTGAGGTCAAGGGTGAGTAGCCACGCTCAACACACACGCACCGACCCCAGCAGCTCTTCTCGACTCCCTCAGAGTATCGCTCCAGTCGTGACACCAGCTTCGCTCGCTCGCTCGCCTTCGTCCCGGCCAGACTCTCCGGTCACAGCAGGAAGGGCAGAGAAACAGAACCGAAAGACCGGTGGGTGAGTCAACTGACCTGACCTGACCAAGCAAGCAACGATGGATGACCTGAGTATACACACAATCGTGTGTGTCTGTGTGTAAGCAGCTGTTTGACGTGGGTGTTGGGCGGCAGCAAAGCTGCCGAGCGCACCACCACCACCACCAGTGGGGGAAGGATGGCCAAGTGAGTGCGAACGATCCACCCACCCACCCATCCATCCATCCATCCATGGATCCATCGTGAGCATCTTGCCATCCGTGTGCCTGTGTGTCATCAATCAGGAGCAGTGTTCCCGGCCGCGCCTTCCACTCCGCCACATACGTGCCGTTCAGCTCCAAGAAGCACCGAGAGGGATACATCTTCATCTTCGGCGGCAACGAGAACTCGCAGCCGGTCAACACGTCGGTCATTGTCGATGTGGCCACCTGGCAATGGCACACGTAAGCCGTCTGCAGGAGGCCACACACACACACACACACACGCATATCAGCTTTACTGTTGTCTGTGTCTGTCTGTCGTGTGTGCAGTGGGGCTGCCGAGGTGAGCGGGGTGCCTCCCGCGCCCCGCAACAGCCACTCTGCCACACTTGTGCAGTCGAGATACGTCTTTGTCATCGGCGGGGCGAACGGCAGGGATGTGCCTAGGATGGGGCAGGACTTTGAGGACCTCCACCTCTTCGACGGACACACCAAGACGTGAGCGGGCGGACACACGCGTACTGCACGCGTGGACCCATGTGTGACAGACATGCTTGGCTTGCTGTCTCTTCATTAACGCACACACATGGTGTGGTGCAGCTGGATTGCCTTCGACGACCTGCCGTGGGTCAGCAAAGGCCTGCAGCCAACTTTTGGTACATCGCACACATCGCACATCCACTCACACACACTGTCCTGTCCACAAGATATGTTTGTTGTCTTCTCTGTCTGCATGGCAGCGATCCCTGAGAGTCACAAGCGGTGCCTCGGCCGAGCACACACAGCTGTCTTGGCAGGCCAGAAGATCATCCTCTTCGGCGGACATCGCGGCGGGTGCCGCGAGCTGGTGGTCTTCAACACGGCAACGGGCCGTTTGTACGTCCCTGTCATGGCCACAAACGCGCGTGTCGACGGCATGGTCAAGGGCAAAGACGGCAAGACGCCTGCGGCCTCACCAGCTGAGGCTGAGGTAGTGGGTTGGGGGGAGAGAGACATACATGTTTCGGTGGATGATTGTCGTGCTGCCGTGTTTGCGATTCAGTTGCCGTCGCGCAAGGAGGAGGCGTCTTCGTCATCCTGTGCAGCGGCGGCGGCAGCAGCGGCACCACCACCGCCACCAGCAGCGTGTGCACCGGCTGCATCGGCCGCCGCTGCTGTGAGTGCTGCGGTCGACAAGAAGGGCCAGGGGGAGGGAGGGGGGGATGGCGGCACGACGGACAGGAAGCGCCGCCGCGACTCTCCCGACATGGACACGGACCGTCCGCTGCCCAAGAAGGGCCAGACCGCCCAGAGGCAGGACTCAGACCATGGCAACGATGACGAGGACGGTATGTATGTGCGTGCAGGGTGGGGCCGGGGTGGATGGATGGATGGATGCTTGTGTGTGGTGTTTATGTGATTATCTGGTTCATTAGACTCTGATGAGGAGGAATGGGTTGCACCAGTCCACGAGAGTGAGGACGACGACATCGATGAAGACGGCGACGGTAAGCTGGCCGTCTACAGACTGTGTCTGATGGCTCCCATGGATGGATGGATGGATGGATGAATGGGTGGGTGCAGACGATGACGCCTACGAGGAGATCGACAGTGAGGGCGGATGGAGCGACGCAAGTATGCACCCCTGGGCCTGGAGACACTGTGCTGTTCTCTGGATGGATGGATGGGTGTGCATTTGTTCACTTTGATCAGGGGCACCGGACGGGCCACGTGACGGCTTTGCGGGGGCGGCCCATGTCACCGTGTACAAGCCGCGGCCTCGCAGCTTCCACGCCTCCGTCTGGACTGGCCACAATATGGTCACATACGGAGGTAAGTCCACACACCATGCAACGCATAGAATAGAGAGCAGCCCCGACGGATACACACTCGCGTGCGTGTGTTCTATTCTTTGTCCCAGGTTGGTCGCCCACCGGGGGCACATTCTCGGACGTGCACGTGCTGAGTGTCATCGACAGCGTCACAGAGGAGGAGATCCTGCCCGTCAACGCCCCGGACGTCACGGCCCCCTTCCCGTCGCGCTTCTCGCGGGACCCCCTGCCCGCCCGTCAGATGCGCTTCGACCGCCACTTCGCCCCCCTGCAGGTCGCGCCGCAGGAGCTGCTGCAGCTGCTGCGTCTCATGGCCGGCCAGCCGCGCAATGATGAAGGAGAGGGCGAAAACGATGATGGCGATGGCGATGACGACGGTGAGAGAGAGAGAGAGAGAGAGAGAGAGAGGGACGGGAGGGACGGCCTGGGGGTTTGTGTGTTGCGAGTTTGGGTGTGGTTGGTTCATCTGTGCAGATGATGAGGACGAGATGCCTGACCTCGAGGACGACGACGAGCGGCAGGAGGCGTCAGAGGCGCAGCCATCTGGCACGGCGGATGCTGCCGGTTTGGAGCCGTCACCGGGAGAAAATGTCGACTGAGGCCGTTTGTGTGGGTTGGTTGGTTGGTTGGTTGGGTGTGTGAGAGAAAGCGCTTCGTCTTTGCAAGCGGCTAGGTAGATCTGCGTGGTGCATGCCGGTTTTGTGCATGACACAACCAGGTAGGTGTATAGGCATCTATCTGCATATTCTGTGCCCTTTGCTGCATGTGTGTGTTTGTGTGAATGAGTGAAGTTGTGCCAGTCATCGCCACAGGCGATTCGACGGCAGGGGACAGCTAGAGCGTACAACTGCAGGGCGTGCCGGTTGTGCTGGTAAATCCCTTCAGGGTTCCGGGTCAGAGTAGGGTTTCGAGGAAATCGGAAAGAGCTCTCCAGAGATTGTTTCCATGAGATTTGACGAGAAAAGACGGTAGCCAGCTCTCCCCTGCTGTCTTCGAACCATCAGCGGCTCAACGATGGCAACATCCCATTGCACACAACCTTTCGCCTCTCCTTTGTTGCCACCAGGTCTTACCCCACAGCACAACTGTATCAGTCCCTCGTACGGCACCAATGGCCCCTCACGCGTCGATGGTCTCCCTGACACTGCTGGCCCTTGCCGTGGCGTCTGCAGCAGGTACACACACACACACACACACACAGCGCACATGATGGTGTTCTTCCGTGGCTGCAGGCGCTGCTGAGAAGAACGTGGTGCGGGAGCTTCAGGACGTGTGTGACTTCCACAGTGCTAATTGTGACCCCTCGGAGTTTTCCGACATATGCGCTTTCGGCTCAACCTCTGTCTCCGGCCAAGGATGCCACGACGGATACCTGGTACTTCTTACATAGACAGAGAGGATGGCAAACTTATCACGACCTGTATGTATGTGTGTGTGCCTTCATGCAGGTGGCTGGCTTTGAATGCTCCAGTAGCACCCCAATTTCCGCTTCAATCAGCGGATCCATGTGCTGCGGCACATGCTCTGAGCGACGACGCCGGCTGCACCAGCATCTGACCCACCGTCAGGACGTCAAGAGTGGCGCCAACAGCGACTCCGGGGACCATTCTGCGGCTAAGGCGGATGGTGGGAAGCTTCGGGAGCTTCAGCAGGAGTGCGCAGAGGATTGCGGGGTTTTTTGCGATGGTATTTGTTGCGGCAGTCTCAATTCGCGTAGCAGACGACAGCTTTTCGGAGTGCCACAACAGTTGTTTCAGAGATTGCGTTGCTGACAGCTGCTGAGGACTACTCTGCCTTCTTGAGTGCGTTCATGAGTTAGTCTATGGATCTTCGTGTCTGTCTGTCTGTCTGTCTACACCTGTCGCCCTTGTAAACATCTATCTGGGCGTGCGGTGTGTGTATGCCACCGCCGGCGCGGTGTCTGTCTCTCTCTCTCTCTCTGTTTTTCAGTCTGTCTGTCTGAGTTAACGAGTGGGTTGGCCTTGATTGATTGGAGGAGTCAGACAGACGGACACTTTGGTGACAGAGAGAGGACGGAGAGACACATGCAGGGTCTGGGTTTAGCAGCTTGGTCAGGCGGGCCAGCAGTTTTTTCCCTTATGGCCTGGGCGCTCTGCGCTGGTTTTTGCCATTTCTGTCGGATATTGATAGTGCGTGTATGCAGTGATGGTGATGGAAACGGTGGGCGGACCGCCCTGGTGTATATATGTGTGGCTGCGTGCTTTTCGAATGAGACACGGAGAGCGGGCGCACAAATGCACTCAGAAGTCATGCACCATAAGCCACGTTGACGATTGGCTGTTCGCTTGTTGCATCTTCTGACGTCCATCGATATCGTTCGTCCTCTCTCTGAGCGAGTCAAACACACAACTGGCAGGCAGGCAGGCAGGTGTATTGTATACACACACGCAGGTAGGTATAGGTACAGCCAGCCAGATAGGCAGGCCTCTCATACACTCAGGCAGGCAGGCAGGCAGGCACAGACAAAGAGAGATAGAGAGAGAAGGGATCGATCGGCACACCCGAGGAAGGAATTGTTGCTGCTGCACAAAGACACATGAACAGGGCGGGGTACACATGACCGACCCACACACAACCAACCAAGTGCGCCGGCCGTGGCCCCCCGTCATCGCTGGGCGGGCCGGCGTGTCGCTGGCTCACAATAACAAGCATGGCAAGGATAGGTCTGCTGTCTGTGTGGATACAGAAAGACAGTCAGACAGACAGAGATGTGTGTGTATATCCATGACGCCATGACGCATGGACATTCTTGATAAAGTTGCGATACCTTCCTTCACACGTACCGACAGACACACGAGCTAGCTAGATAGATAAACTAGGTAGGTCGACAGACCACCACATCGATCCCCTGCACGTACGCTCAGACAAATGGCATCCCACTCAGTCCCTCCCTCCGTCCCTCCGTCGGTTTTCAAGAAAGTGGTAGGGAGCCTCACACCCCCACCCACACCCACACCTCCAGTCACTCTGGCCACTGGGTACACACTAAACCTACCGTGTGCATGTCCAATCCATGCACCATGCTACGCACGCACCGACCGACCGACCACCTGCTTGAACGCATTGCATTGCAATCATTGCAATCGCTCCCCTTGATAAAATACACATCCGTTCGTTCATCTCATCTCATCTCATCTCATCTCACACATGGCAACCGACACCACTATCGTCTATCTACGTCCATACAGGCCTGTCTGTCTACTGTATCTCGCTCTCGCGTGCCTTCCCATACACCCTCGGCCGCTGCGGGCTCCCGTGCGAATCGCCACCATAGCGCCCATTGGACGAGCCAACACCAGGGAGAGGCGTGGCACTGCCAATGGGTCGGGGACTCGGGGGCGGCAGACTGCGGTCCTTCCGGGGCGACTCCTTGTGTGAGTGAGGGAGGGATGCCCGGCCCGACACGCTGCTGCCGATGGGTGGGAGTCCCACCACCCCTCCCTCCATGTCCATGTCGGTGATGTCGTCCACGTGAGAGGGCGACGCCGAAGTCACTTGAGCCGCCATCTCCGCACTGTCACCGTGGGACATCACCGAGCCGATCTCTTCATCACGAAGGTGAGAGTGATGGTGGCCCCCAGCTGCAGGCACCGACAGCCTATCGGCCTCGCGTTGGCTACTCGGGTGCGTCGGCCTCTTGGCGTTGGGGCTGCGGCGACTGACAGTACTGTCGATGCGCTTCTCCCTCGACATGGCACTGCCGCTCGACCCTCTTGATGTGGCGCTCGGCGCATCAGGCGAGCCGCCTGTGGGGTCTGCACGCCGCTTGCTAGAGCGGGTGATGCACGGCTCCAGCAGGTCGATGTCGTCCATCCACACGCCCCGCATCGACGAGTGTGTCGCCATGACGTTGGGGGACCGCGTGGCAGAAGCCGTAGGGGACGACGGGCCCCTCATACTGACGTGTCGTGACTGCCTGGATCGAACAGAGGATCCCCCATCCCCTTGGTGATGGTCCATCGTCGCATCGCCCCTGTCCACTGGCGCTGGCCCTTCAGTGGTCAATCCCGTGTCGGGCTGCCCCTCAGTCCAGTCCTCGTGGTTGCTCAGATCCACCAGATCCAAACTCACACACGCCACGGGCGTCTGGTGGTCGCGCGTGGCGGGTCTTCTCCCCCTAAAGTCGTCCATTGAGAAACTCTGTGTGACGATCCCACGCGTGGAGTTTCGTGGCGACTGGCTGATTCGGTGCTCTGGGGGCAGGGGGGGCCGTCTAGCCTCGCTGGGGGTGGGGCTGGGAGGGGGCTGAGAGCGAGAGGGCGACTGACAGACGTGGGGGGGCTGGCCCTCGATGCGCGACAGAGACCGTGAGTGGTGAGCGTTGCGGCTGCTGGACGATGCGTGGCCGTGGTCGGAGTCCTCGCTCATCCGGTCGCTGACCTGCCGGCTGCGACTGCGACTGACGTGATGGCCGCTGGGCGTCGGGCTGCTGTCCGTGCGATGCGTCCGCTGAGGGGACGACCCAACCGCCACCGGGCTCGGGGTGTCGACACGCCACGCATACGATGACAGGCGCGCGCCGATGGGCGCGCTGCTGCACGTCGGCAGCCCTGGCGACCGCATGGTGGGATGGTCCGCGTCTCGGTGGTCGGCCATGCCCCCACTGTGAGGGTGCTCTGGCTGGCCAGACAGGAATGAATCCGACATGGTGGTGACCATCTCTCGCAGCTCCATAGGCTCGAAGGCGAGCCCCTCGCTGCGTGTGTCCACGTTGACCTGCACCTCGTCGTCCGCATCATCGACACCCGGACTCTCGTGTGGACCGCGCCCTCGGCTGCCCCAGCTGGCGGAGCTCTTGGGCGTCAGAGAGCCCTGCCGGCCGGCATCGAGACCTCTATCCTCCAGCACAATCGATGGCAGCGCCACGGGCCCGCCGGAAGAGGGTATGGACGTCTGGCGCTCGACGTCCGGGTCTGACGCGGCTGTGGCCTCGCCGTTGGTCTGCCGCATGGCCTTGCGCTGCTGCTGCTGTGGGGGTGCTGTGAGCTGCTCCCTGTGCGCAAGCATCTCGATAACGTTGCCCTTGCACAGGGGGCAGTCGAGGTGCAGCGCCAGCCACTGATCCACACAGGTGACGTGGAAGAAGTGACAACAGGGGAGCTGCCGGACCTGCAGGCAGTGATGACAACAGACAGACACCGTATGGACAGTGTTCAACAGCACGGACTCGGTGTGGGAGGGAGGTGCATGTGTCTGTCTCTTTGGCTGACCTCGTCTCCCTTGTTGTAGTCGGTGAGGCAGATGCTGCACGGCTCCTGCTGCTTCTCCATATGCTCCCCCCACTTGAACGGCTTGCAAAACTGATTGGCATATACACACATCCACAGACAGACAGACAGACAGACAGGCATCGACAGAAGCAAGACATGATCGACTCCCACCCACATGTGTCCCTGCTAGTGTGGCAGCCTGCCTGCATACCTCTTTGAATCTGCGTTTGTCGTCTTCGCTCCAGTCGCCCCATGGAGCTTGCTGGCCGTTGTCGCCAACACCGTCACCCCGATCAGCCATGTTCTACACACACGCACGCACGATTCCCCCCCGCTCGTCTGTGAAGCTTTCACGTGGACGCGTCTGTGCGTGGCTTAACTGACCATGCGTATCCGCTTGATGCACACGACGAGAAGGACCGAGATGGCGCAGGCCCCCAACACCCCCAGCACCACAGACGTGATCATCCAGCCGTTCATCGGTGTGAAAGGCTCCGGTAGCCACGTCCAGCTGATTGACACACACGTGGATGGACCGGACCCATATATCAGAAAGAACCACCGGCAGCATATATACTGCAAGTGCCCGCTCACCTGACAGAGAACCCGAAGCCTTCCCCCTCCTCGTCCGAGTTGAACGTCACCAGCAGTGGGGCCTGCGCCTTCATGACTGACGAGTACCCCGGCCTGAGAGGGAGGGGCAAAGACAGACACATCACAACACACGCCATCCCCTGCCTGCCTGGTGCTTTATTATGTCTTACTTGGCAACGGAGGTCTCGTCGAGGATGGGTCTCCTGTTTGGCCTCTTGGTGCCTTCGTAGAGCTTCAGGAAATCGCCAGGGAGCAGCTCCCGCATCTCCACAGTCAGGGTGAGCCGCCCGGGAGCCGAGTTGCCGTTGTTGCCCGCTCCGGGGTTGATCAGCCAACGGCACTCCTGCCGCGGCGCATACTGATGAAGAATGAGAGAATGGAAAAAAGGCAAAAACGCGCCAGTCAGTGGGTCGGCTGGACGGGTCTGGTCGTCTGGTATTGTGGGGCTCGCCTCGCTCACTCTAAGCGTGTAGTCTTCGGAGCCATGGGATATCTCCCCCGTCTCAGCACGCAGCTCCTGCAAAGACCAACGACGCAGCCAGCGTGCGTTTGCGTGTTTGATTTTATGATCCACCCATGCATTGTGTTCGTTCATTGATATCTAGGGACCTTGATCTCAGAGGGGCAGGTTTCGTTGCAGCTGGTAATCTCGAATTTCCAGTCACGGCACACCAGCTGGGACGCTGACCATCGAAAGTTGCCGCCTTGCGTGCCTGATCGATGGATGACACACAAGAATCCCCTCGGTGCGGTGCACGAAAACTGTGCCCTTCCTTCTCTCTCTCGGTTTCCTCCTCCCACTCACCAGATCCACATCTGGGTGAGAGAATGCGCTTGTCGAGCCGCTCGCTGTCTCCCTCGTTGACCTCCCATGCCGAGCAGAAGCCGCAGGTTGGCTGTGAGGAGCATTCGACGCAGTTGCCGAAGTTGAGGCAGCTGTCTGTTTGGCAGCCGCCCTCCTCCCCGCCGTGCCGCCACTCGTGACACCCCGACACGGCGGGCGGCTCGAACGGACCAAACTCGGCCGTGCCCCGCTGACATGTGGCCGTATCCAGACACCATAGACACCTGACAGACGGACGGATGGATGAACAGTAGAGAGAGGCGTGGAAAGAGATTGATTCGTTCGTGTGTGGCTGAGCTGGGCTGGGGGACACACTTGGCTTCTGTCTGTCTGCTGAACCTACCCAGATTTCTGAATGCATGAGGTGCAGTTGTGGAAGCCCCGACACGGGTCAGCGTTGACAGTGATGTCCTCGCACTTGTCCGACGGGACGCCACCGATGTCCGCACAGCCGGGTAGTGCACCCTTGACCTCACACTTGCCCGCGTCACCAGGCGGCAGCAGCAGGCGCGGCTCCGACGAGTTCTCCTTGAGGGACGACGTGAGGGGCGGCGATCCCGCGCCGGTGTGCTCAACAAAGGGGTCGGCGGTGGGGATGTTGCCTGCATCCCACTTGGGGTTCTGGTAGTGGCAGAACTCGCACAGGCCTACGGAGGTGCAGAGGTCGCACGTGAGGTCGTAGTCGGTGCACAGGTCAAGGCAGTCCTCCGACTCGAACGCGGCACAGATCTCGCCGTCAGGCAGCTCATAGGCCGGGCTGACCACACCTCTGACGCACATTCCCTCCCCGCTGCCCTTGAGGCACCAGCCGCATGACGGCTGGTTGACACACGTGTCACACTTGGTGTCCTCTCCGGGGATGGATGAGCCGACGGCCTCGCACACGTCCTCCTCTACAGGGACCACCTGCTGCAGCTTCACTCCCCCCAGCCACTCGACATCCGTCTCCATCTCTACCAGACCCAGCGCAGCGTTCCTCTGCGCCTTGGCCGTCAACCGCTTCCTGAAGGAGGGAGAGACAAACAAACGCACACGCAAGAAACAGTGACGGCAGCACCACGATCGTAGATCTTGATTTCCGAGCCGCGTACTGGAGTTTGGTGACGATATCGTTGACGAATGCAGGTTGCGACTTTTGTTTGGAGACGAAGTCGCGTGCCCGCTGCCACTCGGGGACGGGCAGGATGATCAGACTCGCGCGTCTGGGGCCGCCATCAGCCGCTAAGGGAAACAGACCACTCAAGGCCGGCTGCTGGGAGCCCTGCAGGCGGCGCAGCATCCGCCCGTCGATCTGTGGATCGTCAGACTGCTCGTCGGTGGCGTTGGGCGAGGCCTGGCTATAGTGGGAGTGCATCTGCTCATGCAGCAGGGACTCCGGCAGGGCGATGCGGCTTCGGTCGATGTCGAACAAAGCCGCGAGATTCGACGCAAGCCTGCATGAGACGCACATACATACATACGTACAACGAACGAGGAAATGTGTGTGTGCTGTCAGGGCAATGTGCTGTGCGAGTCAGTCGTGTAGTTTGCCGGTGCTGTGCTCAGCCCACCCACCCTTTGAGGCTTGGGTTGCGGTCCAATGGGTGTGGCCCAAAGACGAAGTGGAGGGTGCGGCTGACGTCCCGCATATCGATGCCCACCAGAAAATTGGCACTCGGGCGGAACACCTCCTGAACAGAAGACACAGAGAGAACAAACAATACATGCTTGCTGGCCGACCTTCCCTGCTCTCTCCCTCCCGCGTACCACGTCTGCGTCGAGGTAAGCGGGGTCTGAGACCTCCTTGATGGTGTGTGTGAAGCTCCGCTGCACCTGCCAGAAGCTGGCCGTCTGGTTGGCCACCGCCTCCTGCTTCTCGGAGTAGCCGCCATCGCTGGCGTAGAACTCGACGAATGGTGCCTCCTCGCGCATCTGCTCGAAGCTCTTCTTGATGCGCACGTCGATCTGAATTGGGTACGGCCAGTAACGATCCGGGTCGTAGAATATCTGATGGATGGACACACGGAGACAGGCAAGGCAGATGGCTTGGCTGCTGTCTTGATGGATGGGCAGTGACGGAGGCAGGTACCTCAATGCCGGCTTGATAGGTGGCGAAGGACACATTTGAAGAGAGGTCGAACTCCAGCCAGTCATAGCTCGCCAGGATGGTGACCTGCTCTCTCGGCCGCCACGGGAAGCGCAGCGTGTAGTGGAGGAACCGCTCGTGCCAAAAGACAGTCGACGGCCCACGCGCTTCGATGACAATATCGGGGCTGGTGTCAACCAGCGGCGGCAGCTCGAGCGACAGAGACCCGTTGCCCCGCTCAACGATGCCCATACCGCTGCTGGTGTTGCTCGACGATTCATCGGGCGAGGCGTCATCCTTCTCAGGGAGCCTCGGCAGCATGTCGCTGACTGCAGGGTTCCGCGTGGAGAAGCCTCCTTCTCCCTCAGTGGCCACAGCGCCCGCCTGCCTTTCGTGCAGCACCCAGATGAGGTCGACAGCCGGCGTGCCGATGAGGGAGAGGCCCTTGGAGTTGTAAATCCAGTCGCCGTCGACTATTCTGAAGTTGACGCTCTCCTTCGTGGCGTTGGCTGGGTTGGCGGGGTCCTGCTCCACGGCCGAGAAGCGGAGGACGGTGCCCTCCAGCGACCAATTGGCGGGCGTGAAGGTGACCTGGGGAGGCGTCATGTTGACCTGTTGCAGGGCAAAACGAGATGAGGCGTGTATCGGTTGTCACCCCGCTCTCTGCCCTTTTTCTGTTGCTTGCTCACCGTGTCGCCGGTCGATGCCTCGATGGTTACGGGGGCCGACGGCCGGGTGGACAGCGCCACGCGATACTCGAGAATCGATGTGCCGTCCCTTGCGCGAGTGGCTGACAGCGGTGTCAGCATCACTGCCGGCCGAGTCGTCAACACCACGTACAATGGCACTCGCAGAATCACCTGATCGATGGATGGAGAGGATGCATTCGAAAGACAAACGCATTCATTCCGTGCATTCCTCCCTGAGGCTCTCTCTTGTGAGCTGTCGGTTGTGCGGCGCACCTTATCGAGGGGGTAGTAAGGGTCGTCCGGCACCGATGTCCCCGTGACGGTGACCTCAATCTCACAGTGTCGCATCATCCCCGGCAGGGCCACATCGTGCGGTGCCAGCTCTATCTCAGTCACCAACACAGCGGTGTCCCACGTGCTGTTGTCCACCGCCACATCGGCGAGGTTCTTGACAGTGCGGAAGCAGGGGCCGGAGTGGGCGGCACTGCTGTTGGCTGAGCTCCACCTGCTCGTGGACAGAGGGGCCGAGCCGTCGCGCAGTGAGAGCAATATGGCCCCTATTGGCTCCTGCAGCAGCTTGAAGCGGAGAGCCAGCCGGGCGCTGACATGCTGCCGGCTCTCATCCCCGCTCACTGGTGCAAGCAGCCTCTTGGAGCTGCCGTCACTGCCACCTGCCTCTGAGGCATCGTCATCCTCCATGGTGACATCGAATGCCCACAGGCTGTCTTCAGGGACGAAGCTGGGCCGGTTCGACGGGATGCCCTCCGTCTTCTCCAGATCCAGCGCCACCGATGGTGCCGCCTCCTGCGACACGAGCACGAGAAGCTGCGGCCTTGGCATGACAAGCGACTGCTTCCTGACGACCATGTCGCGACTCGAGTCAAGCTCGTGGGTGACTCCCAACTGTGCGTCAGCCATGGGGCCGAGGTCGGCCGACCACAGCGGCGAGACAGTCACGTTGAGGCAGGCGGACGGCTGTGGGGGCAGGGTGATCTGGAAGGGAAGCTTGTAGGGTCCTCTGTCGTTGGGCAGGGCTCGATCGCTGCGGCCGACCGATCGACCGAGCCTGTAGAAGACCGTCTTGACGCCATCATCGGGCGCTTGGCAGGCCTCGAGAAGGAAAGTCAAGTTGACCCGAGGACTGTCCGGATCCGTCCGATAGAACTTGAGCGTTGAGGTACCGTCGAGGGTCCCCGTCAGCCGCACCTCGTAGGATTCAGCCCTTGTCTTGGCTGCCGGTACGCTGCCGTTGAGACGGGTGCCAGATGTCGGGGAAGCGGCCCTCAGCGTGACGATCGACGGCGTGAGCGCCACCTCCATTCGATCTTGCTCCTTGAACCATGCCTGGGAGATGCTCGTGAGGTATGCCGACTCGTTGTAGTCGCTCTCATCCGTAAGCAGGATGCGGTGCACCAGCTGGTAGCCCCACCAATGGAAGATCGCCTCTCTTCCCGTCCTGTTTGTCGTGTCGTTGCGCTGGAGCAGTCTGCTCCTCACCCACCCTGTCGACGAATTGTTCCAGGAAGCGAACTCGGTGCTGTTTGTGTCGACAGCGGTCGTGTTGAAGAAGGCAGAGGTCCCGTCCGCCGGCGAAGCCGTCACGTTCCCGGTCTCTGGCGCATCCTCACTCTCTCCGCTCGCCTGTGGCTCTTGCTCCAGTGGCTGCTGCTCGTCTGTTGCTGCATTTGGGGCGTCCAGGGGTGTCTCGAGTAGCAGGTGCGAGTCTCGAGGCGAGTACAGGTAGACGGTAGTGTCGGGTTCGTCGGCTGTGAGAGTGACGGCCATCGAGCCCGAACTAAGGCTGGAAGAGTTGGGCTGGTATGAGAAGTAGAGGGGGTGTGAGTGGCCATCGATCGGCAGGGCGGTGACCTCCACGCGGACACTGGTCGAAGGTGCCTGTAGAAGGCCGAAGTGGTGTGGCAGAAAGCGCCCCTCGAGTGCGGTGATAAGAGCTGGGGTGGTGGGGTGCAACAGGGGCATGTCGATGTCGATGTAGACGTCCGACGGGTCGGCCAGCGGCAGGATGGCGAAGCTGAACGAGTTGATCTCCTCTATTCTCACGTCATCGTTCATCACCCGAGTGGTCACGTCACTCGATGGCTGGCCGTCACGACGCCGCGACGCTGACAGATACAGCCTGAAAACACAAAAGGAAAAGAAAAGACACAATGAATGCACCGGTGACCGGCATATTGTGCGCGCACTGAGGTGTGGGCTGACCTTCCGATAGCCCGATAGAGCCTGTGCAGTTCGGCGAGCTTCGTGTCGCCTGGCTCAGACCACATGAGCACCCTCACAGTCACCACCTTCTCCTCGTCCCACGCATCGGCACTGAAGCGCACCAGCCCGTTCTCGGGCTCAGTCACCATCAGCCTGATCTGCCGCTGCCGCGCAAACCACTCCCCCGTCATGTTGGCCAGCAGCGGGGCGCTCGATGGCGACAGAGCCAGAGTCTCCGTGGCGTCCTTGACGTTCACCGTCACGTTGAGTCCCGGCGGATCCACCAGCCTGATGAGGACCTCTATTGGCTCGTCGGGTGACGCCACCGCACCGCTCTTCAGGTGAGCTCGGAGACGGATCTGCTTGTGCGGGTTGGCCCTGCGGACTGGAATGCGGGCCTGCGCGTAGGTCTCGTAGAAGAGAAGGTCCCGCAGGCTGTCCTCCACAGCGATGGCCCTGGCCACCAAGAGGACCGACGAAGCAGTGGATGGCAAGGCCTCCGTGTCGCAGCGCAGGACGAAGACGTGAGTGCCGGCGATCCGCTGGCTCCTGGGGCTGCAGTCCATGGCGTCCTGTCCTCTGCACATCCTCGCCTCAGAGGGGTCGAACACCACGAGGACGGAACTGTTCTCGGCCTCCCAGTCGGTGCTGACCGATATGTTGCAGGCACCGGGGTGGTCAGTCATGACTTCGACCGTCACGTTGCCCTGGGGGATGACCTCCAGCTGCAGCCCGAAGGGGGAAGGCGGCTGGTGCTCGCTGATGCTCAGCGGCACGTCAGTGAGGGTCAGCTTCGGAAGGTCGGTGTCGTTGAGCGTGAAGCTCTTGACGATCGACACCTCTCGCCAGTCGTCGGGCAGACTCCTCTGAGTGTGGAAGGCGCTCATGTTGCCACCCCATGTGTCCAGCAGCGTCAGGGAGTTGTAGTGGTCGAGCTTCATGCCGTCTGCCGGCCACAGCGGCGCTCGCCCATGGCCCGTGAAGCGCATGTCCTGTGCACGAGCGGCGGCGGGCGACAGCAGGTCGAAGGACCACACCGAGTGGTTGACCCGGATAATGGTGTTGTTCTCATTGGACCGGCCGTCTTGGAAGGCCACAGGGTAGAGGGTGACGTCGAGAGGCCTGCCGTGGCTGAACAGCACGTCGACGAAGAAGCGTGAGGCCGCGATCCAGTGGCTGGCAGCGGGAATGTGGGGGAGCGGGAGGCCGATAGAGCTGCCGTTGCTGTATCGGTCGGCACCCCACTGCGACACAGGCCGCAGGAAGGCAAGCTGAGTTGACGACATGGGGTCGACCAGCACCCGCACACGGTCCCCTTTCTCCGGCCGGCACGACACCGACACGTTGTAGGGACGGATCTCACGCAGCCACTGGGGAGCCGAACCATCCCCTGACACTGCTTCGACCGCGAAGGACCTCGGTGACACCTCGCGAATCATCTCGAGCTCCTCTTGCTTGACGCTGCTCCGTAGGATCAACCGAGGCTCCGCAAAGTTGCGCACACGCACTGTCCGCACCGCTGCTCCCTTTTTCGGCTTGACCCTGTCCGCGTCCTTGTCAGCCGCCAGGGATTCCAAGTCATGATCCACAGGGATGAGCCCCGCCAGCGGGCTGCCGTCGCCATCTGTCGTCCCAGACGAAGGGTGGAATATGAAGGTGGGGTCGCCCTTCTCAGGGTCGTAGGGCGACTCGCCGTCCGTAACGATGGAGAAGTGGATGCCGGCCATGGCCGTGTCCCCCTCGCGACAGATCTTGTCATCGACGGCACGCACCTCCACTTTGACGGGATCCCGCCACGACTGCACGCTGAAGACATGAGGCGTGAGGGCCCCCAGTGGAGAGCTCGGCACGCCGGCTCCCGCCACGTCGGCCTGCTCGTCGGTGGAAGAGAAGGTGAGGCCGTTTGGGGGCGTCTCGGGAGGACTCGCCGGCACCGAGCTCTCGCCACTCGCGTCGACCCAGCAGATCATGGGAGGATATAGCTGAAGGCGGTACGGGAGTGCGGAGACGTTGGCCGGCAGCAAGGTCTGTTGGTTGAGTTCCTCGTCGTGCCCCTCGGACTTCATGATGACGCAAAGCAGGTCGGGTGGCTCGCCGCCCAGTGTGATGTGGAAAGCGGCCGTCTTGTTGCTGTCCAGCTGCTCTGGGACGCCCAGCACGTGAATGTCCGATCGGAATGACGGCCTCAAGAGGACACGATCCAGCTCGTTGAACACAGCACCACTGCATGGCATGGAGCACACAGACAGGGCCAGCCAAGCAATAGATAGACTAGACGTGCGCCTCTCCTTCCGCGGCCTCCCGTAGACTTCTCTTACGTCCATGTGGTGTCGTTTGTGTCGTTGACGGAAAGAGCGACGGATCCCGATGTTTCGGAAGCGGCCCGCTGTGGACTCACATACACCAGCTGACGGTTGTAGCTCACGGTCTCGCCTGGCGAGACACACACGGCATGACACGGATGGCGTTCGTTGTGCATGTGGCAGGCGCCCAGAGGGAGGAGGTGTATGTGTGCGTACCTGGCGCCATGGCTGGGAAAGTGACTACGTCGTCGGGCAGGATTTGGATCTCCTCCTCGTTCCCAGCTGGGGGGCCGAGCGTCACGCGGGTCTCGTCAACAGCACCTGCGGGAGAGCACCAAGGACCACACATCAGGAATGAAGCACTGCATCAATCATATCAGCAGGCATCTCTCTCTTTGTCCTCCCTCACTTTCTCCGGCGAAAATGGTGATCCGTAGCTGCAGTTTAGTGCCTTCCCGGAGGACCACAAAGCCATCGGAGGTCTCGACGGGGATTGTCGAGGGCAGCAAGGGGTCGTTCTCCACACGCACCACCTCCAGGGCCAGCAGCCGGCCCACACAGGCGAATTCAGCAGCATCAAACACGAGCGGCTCGTCACACTGCCATGTGCACTCGGGCCCCAGGTCTCGCCAGTGGGAGTACTTGGGCTTGATGAGATCTAGACTTTCGCCACGCCCTTCGGCTGCAGCGTGCTCGATCTCTCTCGCCTTGGTGATGTGGCACTCGAGGCACTCGGGCGGCCAGAGGCCATCGCCGCAGTCCCAAACACACCCAGCGCCCTCGATCCACGTGGCACCCTCAGGTTTCTCCACGCCAACACACTCCTCACACTCCTGCAAGTAAGTGAGCACCACAGACAGACATGAAAAGGCGGCGTGTGCGATGCAGGCAGGCAGGCCTGTGGGAAGGAAGGGGACTAGCTTAGCTGGTGTGATGGCACTTACCGGTGCGAAGCCTCCAAGCGAGAACGTTGCCTCCTTGCACGGGCGGCATTCGGGAGACGATTCCTTGTCCCCCGACCCCCGCTTGTGTGCTGCTTCCACCACCATGTAGTGGTTGAATGGACAGTATGCCTTCTGGTACACCCTGCCCGTCGACTGCACCACTGCCGGCCCCGCGGCCGTGGCGTCCGGCTGCACGTCAGTGGTGGCCCGGCCCCCCGACCCCTGAGATGCTGACAAGATCTCCGCCGGATCTATCACCGCCAGCCGAGGGTTAGTCGACGAGCCGCGGGGCAGTGAGGAGGGCATGCCAGCGGCGGTCGAGCCGGGAGGTGTCGCAGCACCTGCTGGCTTGTCGGCGTCCTCCCCCCCGGACTCGTGGGCTCCCATGACGGGTGCGAGGCTGGCCTGGATGGCGGGCACGAAGGGCGCACCGAAGAAGACCTTGCCGGCCACGAAAGCGACCGAGTGCCCGAGTCTACTGGAGGGCGGGATGCTGTGGTTGAGGAAACGGCTGGATGCCTTCTCTTTCGTCGATGACTTCTGTCCCACGACTCTTGACGAAGATGACCTCGATGATCGGGGTGGACGGTGTGGGTGGAGCCGCACGGCGGGCATCGACCGGTCGTAGCCCTCGTCGCGAACCTGCTGCGTGAGGGTGCACGTGACTCGGCTGCTGCGGGTGGAGGTGGCGTTCTGCCCCTCGTGAATCAACTGGATGTGATAGACGTTGACAAAGTTGCCTCCCGGAGCACCAAGGATCGCTATCGATGCCTGAACGAATCACACACGGACAGACGTCATGTGAGAGCCTCATCCTGGTGGGCTGCGGTGCACCCTCGATGGGACCTACCTGCTGCCTCATGTCGACTTCCTGTGTCATGCTGAAGCCCAACTCACTCGACGACGGCTCCACAGGCAGCCGTTCGACAATCGACTCGCCGCCCGGCAGCTCGGTGGCTCCGTCGTCCTTGAGCACGCAGACAGGCGCCACGCGCAGGAGGAAGCTCTCAGATCCCATGACGCCCTCAATCCACTCTGCCATGCCGTCCAGCGAGCAATCGCCGACACCTGCGCCGTCGCTATTTTGGCATCCCTCCATCTTGTGTGCCGCAATCCATCGCATCTGCTGCACCTTGTTGGTCGCCTGGCTGACCAGGGAGGCGGTCTCGTACACGAGGGCCACTCCCAGCCGCGGCGCGGCGATGAGCGTCAAGAGAGCATTCGTTGACACGGTCGAGCCGAACCCCAGCCTGACGGCCTCTCTACCGAGTGCGGTGGAAAGGCCGTCACCGAAGGGTGACACCAGCCGGCCGCCGTAATCCCAAGACACATGGGCGGGGCGGGGCTGTGGTGATGTCGACGATGTTGCACCCTCTGCTTCTCCGTCGCTGTCACTGTCGCTGCTGTTGGTGTGGTGCAGGTGGTCGTCCACCCTGACGACAGAGTACCAGTAGATGGAGCCTCCGTCGTCGCACTGGCCGCAGCCGACGAGGAGGTGCAGGTCGGTGAGGGCCAGGCTGGACCCGAACCCGTGCTCGGCGTCGCCGATGATCGGCAGACTCACACCCGACGACGCCTGACGACGGAAGTTGTGGTAGGCCTTGAACTTGCTAGCACCACCTTCACCACCAGAAGACCCCTCGGCATCTGGCGATTCATCCACCTCCTCCCCCGTGTAGAGCAGTACACGCCGGCGCTTGTTTCGGTTCTCAACAGTCGCCGCCAGCAGTCCGCCGTTGAGCTCGTGAGTGACGTATCGATGAGGCTCCGTCAGAAGCTGAGCCGTCTGGTTGAAGTGGCCGTCACTGTTGAGGTGGAAGACCGCAATGCCGTCCTTTGTGAGGAAGCCGACATTCCTGCCGTGGACGGCTGCCCTGACATGGTCTCGGTCGCCGAAGGCCGCCACCGTCTGGATGGCCACGCTGTTGTCGGGTGACCGCAGGTTGGCCGTGTCGGTCGTTGCGATGCCCACCAGCCACCGGCCGTGGGCAAGGATGCCATTGTGGGCCTTCAGAGAGTGGCCCAGCTCCTCCCGGTACCCTCCCTTCAACTGACACACACAGCCCAGCACACACACGGCAGACAGACAGAGAAAGACAGACAGACAATCTCATTCGGCAGGCCTGCAATCAAAAGTGCTCAAGAAAGATCCGTGGTGGTGTCCTTACGAAATAGAACACATCGGGATGGCTGTCCAGCGCTGAATCATTGCCCCGGCGGCCGTCTGGTTGCTGCGCCCCACACGAGTAAAGCAAGAAGAGCAAGGCAAGCAGGACGTCAGTCACTGCCGACCGGACCTTCATAGCAATGACGTGGCGTCTGCGCCACGCACTGGACCGCTGACGGCAAGTGTGTTGCCCACAGCCATCACAACTGCAACCACCTTCGCTTCGCCAAGACAAAAAGTGCGACAAGCGAAGGTCGCGAATTCTTCTTGTCGAAAGCAGCTCTTGGACAGCTTCTTGCAATCGTGTGTTTTGAGATGGTTTAGCTTCCCCGCATCCAAATCTTTCCCAGCTTGCACTTTGGCGATCCAAGCTCGCGTCCTTTCGACGCGTTCGTTCGTTGGTTTGAGGCGTAGTTGCCGTAGTGTAGTTGGAGGAGCTAGCTCAAGATGGCGACAACTCAGATTGGCTGGCTGGGGAAGCCAGTTGCTGCGGTGAGTGAGCGGCAAAGAACGGAGGAGGACGCCCGTTGGCTGTGGAATGAATGGTCTCCTCTCCCTGTGTGCCATGTATCTGTGTATCGCCCGCCATGTATGGGACAGGCTACACAGCAATGTCAGAAGTGTATGCGGTTCGGGCATTGGACGTACCAGTGTCAGTCCAAGGGCGTCTATCTGACGAGACCATCACGCTCTGACATCCTACGGTGAGTGAGGCGGCATACCATACCCAGCTACATACAGCTACCAGGCATACCACACCACACTGCCCACTCTTCCCGCTGTTGGTTGCGTGTTTGTTGTGTGCGTGCCGTGCAGGAATCCGCGGCTTCGTCCGAAGTTTTGCGATGCGGACGATATCCCCGATGTTCCCAAGTGAGCCAGCCAGCCAGCCGATGGACCATGTGATAGATACATGTGCCCGGCATGGCATGCATTTCTCATTCGCTCTTGTGTGTGCCTGTGTGTGTGCTGTTTGTTGGCTCAGGATCACAGATGGGGACGAGTGGCGGGAGATTAAGAAGGATGAGGAGACGGACAAGAAGGGCAGAGGTGAGAGGCTCCCCTGACCCCCAAGCCAGCCAGCACACAGGGAGGGAGGGAGATGGGGGACGCATGCGCCAGCCAGCCAGCCATCCAGCCAACCAGCCGGCTGTTTGTTTGATTCATCCGCTCTCTATTGTCTGTCTGCTTCTTGTGTGGGGTGGTCTGTAGGTGGCAAGGGAGGCGTGAGCAAGAGCAGGAAGCGGCGCAAGGACAGGAGCAACGAGAAGAGCAAACACAAATCAAAGAGTGAGAAAGACTGACTGACTGACTGACTGGCACCCCACCACGTCAGACGGCACGGCACGGCACGGCACGGCACGAGAGAGATGCAGTCATGCTGCACACACACACGTCATCTCTTAAGACATTTCTTTGTATCTGCCAGAGCGCCGCAAGGATGAGAGCAGCAGTTCCGAGAGCGAGTCCGAGTCATCGTCGAGTGACAGCAGCAGCAGCAGCAGCAGCTCAGACAGCAGCAGCGAATCGGAGAGCGACAGCTCAGAGTCCAGCAGAGAGGCCAGGAGGCGCAAGAAGAGCAGGAAGGCATCCAAGTAGACTCTCTTGGTCCCTCGATGGCAGCCATACACTCACTGCAGGCCATGCCTGTCTACGCCCCCTTTGCCTGCCCTGCACACAATGATTGATGCGGCGCGACTTGTGTGCTTTTTGCGTCGAGTGGAAAGCGTCTGTCACGCTGACTCTGTCTGCTCAATGCCTTTATGCCACACCAGCCCTGATCTCCAACGTTTACAGAGCGGATCAGAGGTAAGAGGAGGAGCGTCATCTTTTCTAGTATTTCAAGCAAGATGGGTGACGACCAGCCCAAAGACGTGCCTGCCATCACCATCGCCGAGGCCTCCACCAACTCCTCCCCGACCCACTCCTCCCTCTTCTCCATCCAGTCGCCTCAAGGACCGGTGTATCTCAACGTGGTGGACCTAGAAGAGATAGTCGGCGGCGCCATCGAGGACATCCGCAATGCTCTCGACACAAACCCACCACCAGACGCCCTGCAGGGGGAGTCGCCCGCCTCGCGGCGGCCCGTCAGTGCGGTGGCATCCCATCTGCAGGCGTCGCCTGCTGCCATTCCCGCCGGGACGAGCCAGGAGGCGCCAGCGGCGCCCAACAACAGCGTCCCGAGCGGCGTGTATACTGGCGACCGTCGGCAGTCGGTGTCGTCGCCCGACGTGACCACCAAGGACTGGGGTGCGGAGAAAGTGGCGGCGGCGATCAAGATGGTGGAGACGCCGGGGGTGTGGCAGGCCGTCAAGGTCAAGCCCAAGGACCCACTCTTCGTCTACAGGAAGATACAGGACGAGGCCGGCGTCATGCCCATGTTCAAGGTAAGGAGGTTCACATGACACACCACAGGTAGCCACACTCACCACCCGACGCGCACCGTTTCGCTTCCTTCCGTCCGTCTACTGTGCGTGTCTGTCTATCTATCTGTCCGTCTGTGTGCGGTGCACTGACTGCAGGTGACTTCGGCGTTGAAGGACGTGCCGACGTGGGCAGCGCACCAGCGGATGGCGGCGTTGCGCTGGCCCGATTGGTTCCTCAACTGCCAGCTGCTCGAGTACATCGCACACTACGACGGATACCCACTGCTCAAATGCAGATTCGTCTCCAGATGGGTCGCACCAAGGTACGTCGGTGTGTGGTGGGATGCGCACCGCACACCCCACCCCGGCCGTGGTCTGGTCGTGTGTTTCATCTCCTGTCTATGGTGTGTGTGTGTGTCTGTACTGTGTGTGTGCAGGGATCTGTTGCTGTTCATGATCGACGTCAAGAAGAATGGCGACGAGTACCAGATGCTCTGGACATCCGACGGCACCGAAAAGGTCAGCCAGCCCCCGACAAACACCCACACCACCCCACCCCACACCACACCACACCACACCCATTCAATTCCCCCCTCTCTCCCTTGGCCCCCTGTCTGTGCGTTGGTTGGTTCATTCAGTACAATCATTTGCTGGAGGTGCCTGCGAACCACCTGCAGGCGCACTGCCAGTGCCTGTTTCTGCGCATCCGTCCGATGGGCGGTGACAAGAGCAGCACCGAGGCGGACGCGCTGATGCAGATCGACCTCAAGGGGTCCGTGCCCCTCTGGCTCGTCAACAACTGCGGATGGATGGCCTCGCTCAAGTTCCTCAACTTCGTCAAGGCTAGCTTCTATGAGAAGACCGGGGGCGGCTGGTTCGGCATCGTAAGCAAGACACCCGCAGACACACACACCCCATCCACAGACAGACAGACAGACAGACAGACAGAGAGCGCTAGCGCAACAGAGAGAGACCGCCAAGTGTATGTATACCAACCTTTGTGTGTGTGTGTGTGTGTAGGGTTCGAAGCGTCGTCCGTCGTTGCCGCAGGCTGTGCAGGAGATCGAGGTGAGCCCCGGTGCGTCTGTCATGTCGGTGGAGCGCAAGACCAGCCAGATGGCCACACAGGGCGAGAGAGCCGAGAAGAGGAGGCTCACGAGAGAGCTCAGCAAGGAGAGGCCAGCACTCAAAATAGGATAAACATTCATACACGCATACACACCATCCAGGGACGGAGGGAGGGTTAGTAGAGCGAGGGGAGCGTCTGGCGTGGCGCTGTTTTGGAGCATCCATCCTGGGTGGGTGGGGATGGGTGGGTGGGTGGATGAGTGAGAGCTGCCGTGCCGTTGTCCATCCGTAGACAAGACAGACAGACATACAGACATCGGTTGCTTTTGCGCATTTCTCGCCCACTCACTGCCTAGCCACATCCATCCATTCCTCCAGACAGATGTCACTTCCTTACACTTTTGTCTGTCTGCTTTTGTTGGTCTCGTCTCGCTCTCTGGTGCGCAGCGCACTGTTGGCGGGGCGTGTGTGTGTTTGTGTACAGCTGCCCCCGGCAGGCCGGTGGATGAGTGAGTGGGTCCTGTGTGTGGATACATATGTATGGGCGGTTGAGGTGGGTGGGCGGTGTGGGAGGGAGGTTAGGTGGGTGGATTGATATGCCTGACTGTGTCAAGTGGATGCATCTGTATGCTGCCTGCCTCCCCCCTCCCTGGCTGCACGGACAAGTGTGTGTGTCTGTGTCTGTGTGTGGTGTGAGGGTGGACCTATTATTTGCCTTGTGGTGTCCTTCCGTGGCGCGAGTGCATTTGTTTGTACTACCACAGTTCACTGTCCATTACGATTTTCAGCGAGATTGATTCATTCCATCCACATGAACACATAAAAGTAGACTAGATTGCGTCCGGTGAGGTGACTGACATCCACACACCAGCATCCGCCCTGCCTTATATATACGGGAGATAACACCGGCACAGCCAGCACAAGGCCGTCCGTCCATTCACTGCACAGACTGCACAGCACTCATTATAAGCATTACAACACAGCAGGGGCGGGGCAGCCCCTATCTATATCCAATCCACCACACAACAAGAATTGCAATCTGTCATTCATGCCGCCAGATACACGACACACACACACACATGCACATGCACACACACGCATGTCAGTCATGTGGTACCATGGTGGAGAACACAAGTAGCTAGGGTAGGTTAAATATATAACGGACGTGAACCCACATACACATACACATAGATACACACTGAGAAAGACTCAGCCAGGCAGGCAGCCAGGCAGGGAGCCCTGCTCTGTTGATATGGATGGATGGATGACAGACCTGAGGCAAAATTATCCAGTGAGTATCAACAAGGCAAGGGAGCCACCCAATCCCTCGGTCTCCTTTCTCATCAATCCCTCACTCACAAGAGACTTCACACGGCAGCCACCCACCCACCCAGGCCACGCAGTCAGGCAGCCGCCCCGCCCCGCCCTACACGGCCCCACTGACCGACACATACACACATGTTTGTATCGACATCCCCGACAGTGAGCGTCCTACATACGCACCTACTGCTGTCTGTGTGGAGACTCTTACCACCCCAACTACAAGAGACTGCGGCTGCAGGCAGCGCAAGTCCTCTCTAGAGCTTGGACCAGCAAGGCTCTCGACACACGGACACACGACACACACACAGAGTACCTACCGTACGTACCGTCCGACGTACGTACGCAGGGCCACAAACTTGCCTATGTAGCTAGCTAGTCACACACACACATACACGACACACATCCATCGAAGCAAGGGGGGAGTGCCCGGACCGGATTGGGTATATATATGCGTCATTGATAAAAGGCAGCCTGGCACAGAAAAACAGGCTGGCTTACGTACGGCACAGAGTAGCTAGCTAGTGGGGTAAGTTAGGTTGAGTCCAGTCAGTCGCGTATGTATCTGTGTATGTGTGTGTATGTATGTGTATGTTGCGATCGATCTCTTTGCTTGCGGTCTCCACCCCACAAGTACACACCAATATTACAGGCCAGGCACCGATCAGTATAGTCAGTATCCGCTATCAACAGCCAGCCAGCGCCACCCGCTATCTACCACTCACTCACGTCAGTCGTCCGTCCGTCACACACGCCCCCCTCCCTCCCTCCAGCCCAGCAGCCCTGACCGACCGACACAGCCATGCCAATCACACAACACACACTACAGTGTGGCAAACCGTCTATCTATCGCCTGTCTGTCATCCCCCGCCCGCTTTGCCAAACTCCCTACATACCTGTGTGTGAGTCCGGGCTACAAGCGCCTCCTAGTGAGGCCGCCTCCTCCTCCGCCCCCCTGTGCGGCCCCCTCGCCGTTGAGTGTGTCATCTGACCGCTGCCCCGTGTACTGCTCTATCAGGGCCTTCACCTTCTCCATACCCGCACTGAACAAAACGTGTCAACACAAGACAACCAGCCCGAGGGAAAGCAACAAACGGCAGAATATATACGGAGGGAGAGAGGGAGAGGTGGCCGGAATCTAGTTTTGTTGTGCCAGCCGTGGTGTGGCCTGCGGTGCGGTTGGGCCTACCTGACGCAGGAGATGTGGCTTGCGGCGTAGAGCAGCAGGGCCGCCAGCGTCAGCAGAATTGCAACATAGCAGATGCACTTCAACGGCCGCCGGAGGATTCCCATGGAGATGAGAGAGCCTGCTTTCCTCCCGCCCCGCAGCACCAGTTTCATGGAGCACCCTAGCCCCCCTTCCCCTGCGAGCTGGAGCTGAGGGAATCGAACGTCGCAGTGAGGGCCGCACCAACAGCCTCAGTGGTACACTGCCCGTTCGTCTGCATCGTTTCGAGCGTCTTCTTTGGCCGTCTCCAACAGCCTGTGTTGCTTGCTGTGTTGCGTGTTAGCGGCCTTGCTCATCAAGAGTTGACGATGGCGGTGTGCTGATGTGATACATCGGAGGATGAGCAGCCGTCGGTTCGAGCTGTTGACGACCGGATCTATCCTGGGCGGCGGCAGGAGCGGTCCGCACAACGACCCGCTGCTGCACGACCCAAACCCCGCGCCGACGGCCAACAGAATGAACTTCAGCTGGACGGCGGAGGAGTGGCAGGAGATGAGGGAACAGCTCGTCAACAAGGGCTACCCAAGGTACATATAAGGAGTGGGTGCTGGCCAACCATCCATCCATCCATCCACTGCTTCCCCACATGTGCTGTGCTGTGCTGTGCGTGTGTTGTGTGTGTGTGGTTAATTGCGCTACGCTCTCAACAGTGAGCAGGTTGACCCGATCGTCTCCCGCCAGGACCTCCGGTCGTTCATCGACATGGTGTCGGTGCCACTCCCCCAGCCACACCCCATTCCCCACCCCTCCCTCCCACACACCGAGAACACCCACCTCGCCTCGGCGCCACGCTCTCCCGACGCCAGAGCGGCACATGCACACTCACATGCGGTGGCACCCGCTGCTTCTGTTGCTGCTCCTGGTGGTGGTGGTGCTGGTGCGCCCGCATCCACAGCCCAGCCGCTTGTTGGTGTGGGAGAGGAGGATGAGGATGGCGAGGAGGACTGTATGATGGTGGTGATGCGGACGGAGGACCTGGACATGGCACCGAACAGCGGTCAGTCAGTGAGCGGTGGGGAGGGGCGCTATCTATGGATGGATAGATGGATGTGTGCTGGTGGGTGGTGTGTGGTGTGTGGGTGTGATGGACGTGACGGGTGTGTGTCAGATATCGACATATTGGAGGAGGTGAAGCAGTTTGCCGCCCTGCTGAAACAGAAGCTGTGAGTGAGGGCATGAAAGGCACATATGAGTGGATCGCCACCTCTCTCGCACACACCATCGATGTGTCCTGCGTGTTGTTGTCACTCACACAGGAGTACCAGCCCGGGGCCGCAGGGCTACATCGCACTCGACACGACCGTCTTCGAGTGACACAGACAGACAGACAGACAGACAACAGATGGAGAGGTTCCCATCTATCGTGTGTGTGTGTGCGCGGTGTCTGTGTTGTTGGCAGGCTGGCGAGTAAGGTGCGGAGGTACCGTGCAATGATGCACGATAACCGAGTCACACAGACGCTCGCAAACCAGGTAGATAGCAACCACAACCACGCCCACGTCCACGCATGGACAGATGCGTGTGCATGTGTGTGTGTGGGTGGGTGGGCGAAGTTGTCTGAGTTGGTGAAGGACTTCGGCGGTATCCTGAAGACCGCGGCGACGCTCAAACCAGCCGTCAATCTCACGGTCTGTGTGCATGGCGCACACACCAGTCGTGGTGTGTCTGAGTGTCCATCTGTGTGTGTCCATCTGTGTGTGTAGGATGCGGTGCGCAAGAGTGTGGCCACAAAGGACGGGACGGCCGCATGGAAGAGCAAGGACTTCCTCGCTGCCGCAGACAATGACATCAGGTGTGTACGCTCTATCTATTGTCAGCGGGATACACACATTGTCGATGGTGTGGTGTGGTGTGCTCCTGTCCTGTTGTGCTGTGTGTGTGTAGGTGTTTGAATGCGTCGCTTGCGTACCTCCGGTGCTATCTGGAGGGCACCCTCATCCCAGGCCTCACAAGCTCCGTCGCCAAAGAAGATGTAACCAATAGAACCTCAGCAGAGAATGGAAACTGCCTGCCTGTCTGTGTGTGTCCGTTGGTCGGTCGGTCGGTTGCTCAGCTCGAGGCGTCTGCGGTTCAGCTGCTCAAGGTCCACTCGCGCACCACCATCCCCTCCGCCGTCGACACCGTCGGTGAGTCAGTCAGTCAGTGAGGGCCAACCGATCAACACACACACACACACACACACGTGTGTACGGTCCCCTGCCTGCCTGCAGACAAGTTTGGCAAGCCCGTCCAAGTCAACCTGAACAAAATGTCGGCAAGCCAGCTGAGCTGCACGATGGACGAATGGCGTGTGTGGCAGTGCGTCCCTTGAGAGTTAGTGCATTGATTGCATGGTGTGGTGTGCGTCTGTCGTCAGCCTGTCGCAAGCGAGTGTCAACGTGCTGGTGGAGCGGCTCATACACGTCCTCAAGGTCGGTCGGTCTGTGAGCGATGATGACAAAAATGACGACACAGATAGACAGCCGCCGGACGGCGAGCTTGTTGACTGACCATTCAAGTGTTTGTCTGTCTGCGTGTGGTCATTTATGTGTGAAAGCGCCTGCACGAGCGGCTGTGTGTGGCCCCTCCCAATGACGTCATCAAACACCAGGTAGGTCGGCCTGCCTGCCCTTGCCCACCACTTGTCGATGTATCGGTGGATTGGATGCGTGTGTGTCTTTGTGTGTGCAGCTGATCACGGCGTGTCTCGATCTGGCCTTCATGTCTGAGGCCAAGGAGGCCGTCGCGCCCTACGCTATTGACATAATCGTCACCGTAAGACAGAAGCGAAGCCCAATCAACACGGCGGCACCGCCCGATGAGAGAGCGTGTCTTCTCTGTTTCCTTTTTTTGTCCTTCGACCGAGTGAGCAGATCTGCTGTCGTTTCCGCGACCTGCGGCACTCACTGTTTCGGGTGGGGGCTCCACCCAGCCATGTCTCACTGTTGGTGTGTGGTGTGTTCGCGTGTGGGTGGGTGGTGTCGATCAGGATGCGGCTGCCAAGATAGCTGACGTGCCCATGACCGGCAAACTCGGCGGATCAAGGTGCTCACTCACTCAGTCACTCCCGGCCAATCAATACACATCCCCCCATCCCTGTCAGTCATGTGTACACATGTGATCTGTTGCCTGCAGACGGCGTGGCCAGTGCGACCCCGACCGTGACCTCAGCCGACACGCCAAAGTCATGATGAGGTCAGTCAGTCAGTGATATCTATCAGACACACAGGGAGGGAGGGAGGGAGGGAGGCACCACCCATGTGCTGGCTGTACGGTACGCTCGCTGTGGCTCTCCCTTTGTGGGTGGGGTACAGGTTGGCGCATTCCGTGTGTGGTCAAGCAGATCGGTCCGAGCAGTTCCACGCCGAGGCCAAGAGGCGCAAGGACCTCCTCCTGGACAAGGCCAGGGACATGCGCGCCGCCGCCAACGAGCTGGCATCGCATATCTACCACACGTAGGTGTCACTGATGTGAAGGCCAGCAGACACAGATACTGCAGGGGTGTGGGGGCGTGTGTTGTCCCTGTGTGGGTGTGTCTGGATGGATAAATGGTCCCAGGTGTGTGTTGCGCTGTGACAGCGGTGAGCACCGCAGCATCGCAGAGAACCTCCTGCTCGACTTTTGCGACGTACGTCAGTCAGTCAGCACACCACAAGCACCCAACCGCCCTTCAATCATACTGCCGTGGTGTGTGGTGGTGTCTGTCCATGGCCGGATGGGATGGGTGTAGGCGTGTCTGAGTCCGATGTGGCCGTCGGCTCCCGCCTTTGTGAAGTGGTTCTGCGCCATGCTGTTCCAGCACGAGAGGGAGGTCGTGCAGCAGAACGACCACAGAGGCCATGAAGACGGCAAACGAGCCGTCGTCAGAGAATTCTGTGTACATCTCAAGGGCAAGGTAGGTGCGTAGGCACACACACACACAACAGGGGTGGTGCGGTGCGCGCTGCATTGGCTTGTGTGCAGGCTGTAGGTCGTTTGACGAAGATTCTGTCTGGCGGCGTGATGCTGGCCAACCCCCTGGATCTCCCCAAGCTGCCACCACATGCTGGCATTGACACTGATTGTGACCCCTCTTTTCTCCGCAGACAGGCAACGGCCATGTTCAAGTACACACAAACGCACCACCGAAGACACACACACACACACACACTAACACTAACACCTCGTCGCATCCCTCCCTCGCCCCCTGCTGCACCTGCCTCTTGTCGTCCGTCTGTCTATTCCATCAGGAGCAGCCAGTTGCATCAGCCATGGGGCCAGTCGGCCGTGCAGGCCGACACGGGCTTCATCAGTGCCGACCTCGCCCTGCGTCTGTTCCTGCTCGAGTTCGTCGACAACCAGAAGCCGCGTGAGCAGCCGCAGGACCTGTCGGCCTTCCAGCGGCCCCTCCCGCTCAACCAGACACCGCAACAGCCACAGACAGACGCACCTGCGGCAGCAGCAGCTGCTGCTGCCGGTGCCGGCGGCGGTGGCGAAAACAAGAAAAGCAAGAAGAAGGGCCGGCCGAGTGCGGGCCAGTCGCCCAACCCCACCTCTGACGACTCCACACCTGCCTACGTGCGTCATGAACACGGACAGACAGGAGGGGTATCAATTGTGTGTATGTCCTGTTTATCTGTGTGTCTGTCTGTGTGTCTGTGTGTGTATGGGTTGAATCCATCAGATGTTGACGAATGAGCATCCCTACTACGTGCGGTGTGCGCTGGTGTGCTTCTGCATGGACGAAGACCAACCCAAACAGAACAAACAGGTCGGTCGGTACACACCTGACTGACTGACTAACTGACTGACACAGGAAACGATGGATGGATGCCATGGGCACACACACACATATATACACTCAGACTGGCGCCCGCAGCCGCCGTGAGTCCCACCACACCAACCCCGCATCAGAAGACGGAGGACAAGACGGCAACAACACAAACCAGCAGCAGCAGCCAAAGGTGAGAAAGAGAGAGAGAGAAAGAGGGCACAGCACACAAACCATCCCATGTGACTCATACAAGGTGTTCTGTCAGGACGGTGAGGCGGTGTCTTCTTCTGCCACCGCCACGAGCGCCAGCGCCACAAGTGAGAGGTCGGTGCTGGAGCGATGGTACTTCACCGAGTGGGCGACGTCGGCGGTGCGCGGCGGCCGGTCGGCAGAGGGGTACCAGCCGATGCCCAAGGGCATCCGGCTCTACTGGAAGTACATCTACTCCCGTGCCGTCAGCAACATCCCAAGGAACCTCGTCAACGAAATACTCAAACACCTCGACAACAGGGCGCAGCCTACACTCAAGTTGGTCACTCAACGGCCAGCCGATAGATATCGTTGGATTATCTGAGTGTGTGTGTGGGTCATCCGTCCATCGATCCATCTGTTGATCAGGCGTGCGGCTATCGGCGCGTTGCTGGACATCGTGACGGACAACCCTGCGCTCATCACCGACTCCTACTACGAGCAGTGGATCGTCAACGCTGTCGAAGTCGGCATCGAGGTCAGTCAGTCAGCATCTCAGGCGGGCCAGGCCTGGCCACGCCAGGGAGCACGCCGCACCGCTTATACGTTGATCTGGCTGTCTGTGTGTGTGTGTCTGTGTCTGGTGTGTCAGGACAGCGCTGCCCGTGTGCGCGACCGGGCCCTCCAGCTGCTGGAGAAAGTGGTCTTCAGACACAAAGGCGACATACACGTACGAAAGGAGAGCCACCTCAGTCATTACTGACACTTTTCACACATCTCTCTCTCTCTCTCTCTGTGCGTGTGTCGGTTCCATCCATGCATCGATGCGCCGATCAGTTTGATTGCGGCACGGAGCGCAGCGCCTCGATGTCAACGATGCGGCAGGACACCACCACTCTCACTGAGGACGCCATGGACGATCCCGGCCTACACGCAGCGGCAGCCGCGGCGGCGGCGGCGGCGGCAGATGACGACAACGGCAGCAACAGCAACAGCAACAGCGACACTGCGAGGGCCGGCCAAGAGCAGAGCGACACCATCATGAAGACCGTCCAGAGGCTCGCCGAAGCACTGGTCACGCGTGTGGACGACCCGTCGCCCCTGGTGCGGGCCAAGGCCATCAAGATACTGTCGGAGTTCTGCCTCAACAACCCTGCCCATGATAAAGTCTGCAGCCTCGCCGCTAACAAGTTCCTCGACCGGTCACTAACGAGAGCGACACAAACATGCATGGCTGTGTGTGTGGCGATTGCGTTGTGCAGTGTGACGACGTCTGACGAGACGGAGAGCGTGCAGGACAAGATCCTGGACATCTTCTACCAGCTGTGGTTCGACCAGGGCCGCTCGGCCGGCAGTGCGAGCGACCGGGCGTGCATCATCTTCATGGACATCAACATGAAGGCAGCTACGGCCATGGACGGCGCCACCGAGTCCTTCCTCGACAGACTCTTCAAGCGGGCCACATCCAAGCGCACCAACAGACGCGACCGCTCGGCCATGCTCGCACCGTGGACCTCGCGCATTCTCAACTCATTCCTCAGCTCACAGGACGGCGCGAGAAACGACACACGTGAGACAGGTGCGTGAGTCAGAGAGACAGCCAGTGGATGGGTGGACGGCAGGGGGCATGTATGTGTCGATCGTATGGTGTTGAGTTGCGTGTGTTGTGTGTGGTTGCAGTGACCCGGCGTCTGGCGTGTCTGAAGTGTCTGCACATTCTGAGTGCCTACACCCCGACGGCCATAGGCGAGAACGTCAAGTACTTCACGCCGTACCTCACCCTTAACAAGGACAAGGTGGCCATCAATCCCAGCCAGGGAATGCTCGTCACCATTGTGAGCAACCACACACACACACACACACACACAGAGAGAGAGAGAGAGAGGGATGGTGTGTTGGTTGGTGTGCTGAATGCATCATCAGGTGCTAAACATCATCAGTGCGGTGCTGCCAGCGATGGATACCCCCGCCAGCCTCAAGAGCACCCTCACCAAGGCACAAGACGACATCCTCAAGCTCGCCACCTACAGCGACAGCATCGCCGGCATCATCAAGGAAAACACCCCCAGCTACCTCATCAAGGCCGCCCGCACCTGCATCGCAGCCGTCGTGCAGCACGTCACATACGACTACAAGAAATGCATCGAGCCGCTGCTGGTCCACGGAGTGGCCTACCTGGCGTGGCTGCGCAAGAAGTTCAGCGAGTCCAGGGGCCAGGCAAGGGCGAGGGAGCACATCGTCATTGCCCACCGGGTGGCGATGGCGCTGGGCAGTCTGCTCGCCGCCCTGCCACTCGACAAGATCATACTAAGTGCAGACGACCTCTGCAAAGACGGTCAGCACAGCACAGCACAGTACTCTGCCCATGACGCGTACACACATGGCTGTGTCGATGGATGCTGCCTTCAGCAGATGACGGCACCACGTCGCCCACGCCGTCTGTGCGGTCCAAGGGCTCCAGCAGCAGCACCAAGGCCACCGCCCACGTCAAGAACTACCCCAGGGGCACCCGGCGCGAGCAGGCCATCACTATCGAGTCGCTCACCCACGGCGTCAACACCATGATCGCACAGCTGCCGGCCAGCAGCAAGTGGGAGGAGAGCATCGGCGGCGAATTCCTCGAGTACGTCAACGGGCTGCTGCTGGACGTCTTCGACATCATCCGTCTGAACAAGTTCCAGACCTGCGAGGCCGTGGCGCTGGGGGGCATCCTCAAGAGCTGTGGCGAGTTCTACGCCACACATAGACAGTTCGTCAACTCGACGCGGTGCGTACGCGTAACACACACAGTGGGGACTGGAGAGGGGGGCGGGGATGCGGGACTTGCAGTGGCTGGGCTGGTTTGTCACTGTCTGTGTCCTGGCCTGTGTGCGTCAGGCTGAAGGATGCGATCACCTTTTCGCTGGACCAGAGCCGACCCATAGGTGGGTGGGTCTGTCACTGGGATGTCACGGAACACTCGCACATCCCTCCGCCTTTCTCCCTCTCCCTCTCTGTGTGTGAGCAGCATTGCAGACGAATGCCCTCGAAATGCTGTCGAGCCTCCTGCAGAAATTCGAAAAGCTGGCCGTCGAGGTGAATTGACTAACGCACCAGCGGCAGCATCGCCACAACACAGGTGACGTGTGATTCTATTTGCTCGCCATCAGAACCTCGGCAGCAAGGAGGCTCACAACAAACCGGCTTCGGTAAAGACCGCCCGCCGCACGGACACACGCATCGCCTGCCTGCACACATAGCACGATGGCTCTCTCTCTCTCCCTCCCTGTTCGTTGTCTCTGCAGCTGAGTGACGGCGGCCTCTTGTCCCTGCGCGGAGCCCATCCCGCCGACCACCCCCACCCCACCCCCACCACGGCCACAGCGGCCGCGAGCATGCCCACGGCCACGGACTCCGCCGCCCCGCTCAGCCACCACCTGCCGGCCATCCTCGCCATCGTGCGTGGCGTGCGGCTGGCCGCCCCTGCATCAGCAAACAGTGAGAATGGTGGCGGTGGCGAGAGGAATGATCGGCGGAGGAAGCTGAGCCCTGAGGAGGGTCTGTGTTGTGAGGCGTTGAAGGTGGTGCAGCAGCTGCAGCGGCAGGGGCTCATCAACCCACACGAGATTGTGGCGCCCATGTTCTGCCTGTACTTCTGCGACGAGGGAGACGTCCGCGGCCCGGCGGTGAGGATCATCAAGGTGAGTCAGTGAGGGAGTGAGTGCGAGGAATGAGTGAAGGAATGGGCAGACAGACAGAAGCGGGAGGGGCGGAGGGGCTTGTTGTGTCATGTGTGCGTCTTGGTCCGACCGACCATCAGGATCTGACTGACCGCGACCCCAATATCATTGTCAATCGTCTTGAAGACTGCCTCAGGTATACACACACACACATACACACACATGGTGCGGACGTGTGTGTGATCGGTCCACAGAGAGTCCTTCCTGGCCATCCATCGCAACTTCGCCGGCAAGCTGGAGCTCTTCCAGCCCCCCGACATGCGCGTCATCGAGCCCGTCGCAAGAGTCTACAAAGAGAGATGCCAAAAGACCAAGGTACGTATACACACATACATAACCACACGCACCCACACCACACGTCACCACGCATGTTCTCTCGTGTGTGTGTGTGTGTGTGTGCAGAAGAGTCGCGAGAGGATTCTGCGCAACCTGTGTCACCAGATGGAGAAGTGCAGCGACCGCAGCTTCCTCGAGTCATTCGCCACCACCATCGCAGAAGCCAACCTCTCCCCACCGCCCGCCTTCCACTCGCTGCTCGTCGACCAGCCCCAGCCCGCCAACCCCCCCGCAGACACAGACGAGCAACCAAATGGCGACGGCCACGAGCACCACCAGCCGATGGATGTCGACAGTGGGTTCCCCGCGTCGATGTACTTCACGCTGACGTACCTGCAGTACGTGGCGTCCATCCTGGGGTCGCTCATGCTGGAGTTTGAGTCTGAGGCGCTGGTCCTCGTGACGGAGCTCAACTCGCTGATTTCGTCCCAGGGGTGCCTCCTACCCACCTGTGACAATGACACACCCACCAGCCAGGGCCAAGACGCAGCCATGTCCCCCGTCGATGGTGATCCTGACAACGGCCAGCCGGCTGCCGCTGCCGCTGCTGCTTCTGCTTCTGCTGCTGGCGGGTCCTCTGTGAGACGTGTGCGGGTGGATGGCGTGATGGCCATGACGGGCAAGGAGAAGCTCGGCGGGTGCTGTGTGTGTGCTGCCGCGGGCGTGCTCAAGACCAGCATCAGACACAAATACGGCATCACCGACCAAAAGTGAGTGAGGATGGGATGAGGGGTAGACAGACGCACAAGGAGGTCGGTCTATGTGTGTTCACTTTGTGTGGTGTGCAGGATATCGGATTACCAGTCGGCTGAGGGCGGCGGTCGCGAGAAGGAGAAGCCCAAGTGGACGTATGCCGTGGACGAGGCCACCACCAACGTCTTCTCGCCGTCGACCTTCCAATCCCTCACTCTCAACCTCCTCAAGGCATACCACAACGACCACATCGACACCAACATCGTCGAGGTGACTGACCACAGCACACACACTCACCCGCAGGCGACAACACAGATGCCTGTCTGTCTGTCTGTCTGTGTCTGTGCATCCATCGATCGGTCATCAGGAGTGGGTGAGGGAGAACCTCGGCAAGGAGTCGGTGGACGTGAGCATCTCCCGCATGGAGCAGCAGCTCCTCCAAGAGCTAGAGGACCAACACCACCCACACGGCAAGCGGGGCGGCCGCGGCAGACGCACCACAAGGGCCGGCAGGGGAGGGCGCGGCGGCGGCAGGGGGCGGAAGGGTGGGGCCGACAATGCCCCTGCCAACAAGCCCAAGACACGAGGCGTGAAACGGAAGCGCAAGTATGGCCTGAGCCACAGTGACAACAGCGACATGGATGAGGGCGGGAGGGGCGGCAGCGACTCTGAGGAGGAGTACGAGTGCATCGAGGTCAAGGGCAGAGGCAAGAGGGGCGGCCGGGGGCGGGGGCGGCCCAGAGGAGCAAGGGGCGGGAGGGCACGCAAGGAGTGAGTAGTGGGGTCAACTCAGTCAGTCGATGTGATTGAAGCATTGGATGGATGGATGGATGGACTGGCGGAGGGCTGGTGGGTCTGAGGGCAAGGCAAGCAGTCTGTGTACATATCCTTTTTTGAGATGTCTGTCGTATGATTCCTTCCCCTGCTGAGCCGGGCCGGGCCGGCCCGACTGGCAGTCTCTTGCCTGAGCGAGCGAAGCGAGACCAGCTAGGGTGTCTTATCGAAGTCATGACTTAGGGCCTTCCTCCTCTCTCCTACCCGCCCACGCTTTTCCGCCTGCCTGCACGGAAAGGAGGCAAATCCACGGTGCCTGCAGGCCTCCTTCCCTCCCTCGTGCATCCATCCGTTGGTGTATCATATGTGCTTGCATCCTTCAATCAGTCAGTCGTACGTACGTGTACAAGTCGAGGCCGGCCCAGCTCGGCTCGTGTTGGTTGTCGGTTTTGCAGACTTACCTTGCTGCATATGTGAAGGCCATGTATGCAGCACAGCCACCCCATTCTGCAGCCAGCCAGCATGTGCTAGAGACAGACAGACAGACAGAGAGAAGGAATGTCTATCGCATCCTTCCGACCAAAATGGACCTGGCTGCCCTTTGCTTGCTCGGGCAGCCAGCAATTAATTGCTACGTACAGGTTACTTACGACAGGTTACTTACTGTGATTTGCGTGCAGTGTGCAGCTAGCTCAGCTCTTGTGTGTGTCTGTGGGACATGCCACCTACGTACACAGTGAACGTCTTGTATCTACCGATCCATTGGCTGATGCAAGCCAAGCACACATGCAATCAATGCATCCATCCATCCATCGGTGGAATCTCACCCCTTCCCATTGCACTGCACTTGACGCGTCCATTCATTCGTTCGTTCATGCCATGGCGCGCCAGCCATGCACCCCATCCACCACAGTCCAGGACGTACTTACACAAACCTTCCCTCGTCCCACACACAGGCAGACAGACAGACAGACACGCGTGCAAAACCTACACTGAGCGAGTGATTGGCTGGCTACATGCACTCACACGTGGACGAGTCCAGTATATCTATCGAGTCCAGTATATTATATATCGTAGTCAAGCGGCGGCACGAATGGCCGACCACTACCTGCAGACAGGAAACGAAGCTAGCTGGCTTTGCGGCATCTACGTACGTACGTATGAGTAAAAAGAGCTCAGTGGCAGGCAGGACGCACAACACAGCCGTACGTACGTAAGCAAACACACGCACGCCTCGATCGAGGCCGGCCGCAGAGCAGACGGGGGTCTGTCTACTTTTCGGTGAGTTCTCTGTAGCCCTGCCAGTCGTCTGGCGCCACGAACGACCTCTCCCCCATGTAGTTGAGCAGCACCGTGCACGGACCGTCCTCCGTCGCACCCACGGAATCCTTGATGCTGTGCGTCAATCAATTACACACCGACATTCAGATGAGAGAGGGTCCGTCCGTCCGTCCGTCTGTCTGTTTGTCTGCCCGCCTGTGTTACCTCGTGAGTATGTCTTTGGCGTCGGCCCAGTCGCCCCTGTGGTACGCCAGCCACCCCTCGCTGAACCTGTCCAGGAAGCCCGGCGGTAAGTGTGCGCGCATCTTCTTGAGGTCAGAATCGGACTCAAACAGAGACGCAACCTGATGGACGGATGGATGACCGAGACAGACAGACCCGACAGACAGATAACGCATCCATTGTATTGTGTCACGTCATGTCGAATGCGCGTCTGTCTGTCAAAAAATACTTCGAATTCCGGGTTCCAAAGTCTCCGCTTGAGGGCGGCTTTGCGCTTGCCGGCGCGCAGCTTCTTGTACGCATTGTATGCCTGGACGGACGCATACACGCGCCAGCCAACACCAAGACGTGTCTCTCTCTCGACCTTACGGCGGCAATGTCAGTCAGCCAACATGAGGCCCACCTCACCTGTGCGGCTTTAGGGTTCTTGGCATCGTGATCTTTGGGCCTCTTTGGCCCGTCAACCTGTCAGTCGACACAGCAACGAACATAGCCAGCGAACCGAACCAGGCAGTAGGTGTTGCGGTGTTGGTGTCTGTCTGTCTGCTGCATACCGCGAGAGCCTCTGGGTGGAGGTCGACTGTCCAGAGGTCAATCGGCTGCTTCGACCCCTTCACTGTTACCCGGTCGATGCGACGACACTCATCCTACACACTCACAGACACACGATGCCCTCATGCCCTGAGTCCTCTCTTTCCGTGTCTCTCTGCTCCTCTCATTAGCTACCTGGAATCTCTTGCTGAGGAGCTCGATCATCCCACCGCTGACAAGGATGGGCACACCGAACTGCTTGGTGGCTGCCTCGAGGCGAGAGGCCAGATTGACGTTGGGACTGAGGTATGAGGCGTCGATCTTGTAGGTGGTGCCGATGGCGCCCTCAATAGCCCACCCCTGGTGCAGCCCAAACCCCATGCGGACGCGATAGTGCTTGCCCAGTCTTGCGAGGAGGCCCTCGTGTCTTCGGTACTCGGCGATGACGGGCGACTTGTTGATGTTGGCAATGATTTTGAGGTAGGACATGAGGGCCATGTCGGCCGTCTTGGTGATGATCTCTGTGTCGGTAATCTCCTTGGTCTCGCCGTCGTCCTGGATGCGGTACGCCACTTCCTTGCCCGTATACGGGTGCCGCTCGGGCAGCTTCCACACCTACTCATAAAAGAGGAAGGGATGGAAACGATTAAATGAAACACACACACTTACGAGCCAGCCTTTCCTTACGTACCAGCAGGAATGCATCGCCGATGTTTTTGTTGGCCGACCCGCTGAAGTCGTCGCACACGCCGTGCACTATCTCGGCAATCTGATTGACGAACACCATCACCTGCACACAAACACAAAGGATACCACACACACACCACACAGCAATCATGTGCAGCCGCGGGAGGGTCACTCACTGGGCAATTGACTGACTGACCTTCTCCCTCAGTATTTCGGTGGCGTCAGTGAAGTTTCGGATGTCGCAGAAGCCGAAGATGCACGTGACTTTGCGGCCCGGCACCATGGGGTTGACGCCCTCGGTCGACTCCAAATTCTTGGCGATGATGAACGTTCCCGCCTCACCAAAACCTGATCACCATTGGCATATATCGAGAACAGATGTCAGCTCGGTTTGCAAAGAGGCGAAGCGGCAGGCAAGTATGGACGGACACCCACCGAGGGCCATGAGAGTTCCGATTTTGACGAGTGTCTTCTCGAGTATGATGGTCTCCATCGGCGGCTCCACCCCCTCCTTGTTGCGCAAGCCGCAGCACGACAGCCTGACCGACAGAGAGATAGAGACAGACACAATCAACAGCAGGACAGCAGGCGGCATGTGAATGATTGCAGGAGAGAGAGCGCTCCGCTCCCTTGGCTGGCTGCGTACAGGTAGTCGAGAAGCCGTCTTGTCTCCTTTATGTAATCGTTTTCCTCTTGCGACTTCTTGCGCAGCAGGTCCACCTCCCGCTGCAGGAGCTCCTCCTCCAGACGGATCGCCTCGAGGGGATTCTTCCGGATTATTTCGACCCGCTTGACCATTTTCTCGAGCGGCTTGAGCACCAGCTCGTTGGCGTCGTACGAGAACATCATCGCTCCCACACTCAACACCTGATCACATGCAGCACCAGAGAGGAGTGTACAAAGTGAGTGATTGGATGGAATCGGCCAGCAGTCAACACACCAGGCAGATGAAGCACGTCTGGGCGATGCTAAGGTTCGCCTCGAAACGAGTGAAAGGGCGGCGGTCGAAGGTCACCTGAGCAAGGACAGGAGCCATCCATCAGGAGGGAGGGACGTCAAGGTGTCTGTCTCGTCAGCCGTCTCACCGTGTGGCACTCCCCCTTGAGCCGCTCCTGCTCACTTTTCCGCAGCTCGCCTGCATGAATCAATCAATCAATCGATCTGTCTGTCTCCCTGCCTGCAGCCAGCCGTGTGAGGACTGACTTACTGAGCGATTCGACATCCGGGTCGAGAATGACCCCTTCATCAGTGACGATGGCCGGCTGCTGCAGTCGCTCCAGGACCTCTCGGCCGACATTGAGGTCCCACATCTCGATTTTTTCAGTCATGTTCTTGACGCTGAGCGACAGCTCCTCGGGAATGGGGTCGATCAGCGACAGTGCTTCGGGCAAGATGATGTGGACCACACGGGGCTGCCGGATCTTGGGCTGGTGGGGCCGCTCGGTCACCCTGTGGTAGGATATGTACGAGAGCACGCCGGCCTCCCATGCGAACTCGGCCTCTTGCGCGGTGCTGCCGGGGTAGGACTCCTTGACGGCATACAGCCTACAAGGATGGGTGCATGGGCAAGACACACATCACATGCACGCAAAGTGAGAGAGAGGCACCCAGCACCCTCCTCACTCACTGGTCGAGTGTGGTGAGGCCAAACGAGACAGATGCCGGATACTCAGAGTCCCAAAAGCCCTGGCAGAGAGAGGGATGTCACACACCACCCACGTACAGGATAGGATGCATCCGTGAGTGCAGGTGTGTCAGTCTGTCTCTCTGTCTCTCTGTCAGTCAGTCTGCAGCGCCATGCGTCAGTCATTCACCGGTGAGAAGAGGGGCAAGAGAAAGAGCATGGCCAGCACGATGAGAATGACTCGGCGCGTCGTCCGATCTGACAGCTTCTTGCCCACACGTGTCTCCTCCTGCGTTCATCCACACCACAGATGGATGGATGGATGGATGGATCAATGCAGGCCAGGCAGCACAAACAAGCAAATACACCCACTGTAGCTGGGTGCGGTGCGAACTCACCCCGACTTCCTCCTCTTCCTCGTCTGCCTGCTCGGGCTTCGGATACTCGGGCTCGCCGACCTCCATGTCCAGCTCCTCGCCGGGAGCCGTCCTCCCTCCACCCTGCACACCACGCCACACCACACCACACCACACCACACCCATCACTCCCCCTCTCCCTCTCTCTCTCTCTCTCTGTGTGTGTGTGTGTGTGTGTCCCTTTGCAAGTAAGTACCGTGTGTGGTTTGTGGGGTCCTTTGCCCTGTGTGTGGGGGTGGTTGGGGTGGCTGGGGTGGCTGCCGCCTCCGATGCGCATTATGATGACCTTGTAGAGCTTGACAATGCGGATGAGGCGGAACAGCCGCACCACACGGCCGGCGCGGCTGCCGGCACGCGCTGTGCGACCCGTCCTGTGTGCATTTGGATCAATGGATGGATGGATGGATGGATGAATGGACACAGACCTTCTTACCTGGCCGCGGATGCGCTCTCCACCGATTCTCCTGATTGCAGGGCGTCAGAGATCCACGTGAGGTCCAGAATCAGGGAGGCTGTGGACACGGCATCTGAAGGGGGCAGGGAGAGCGAGAGATGGCATGGCGCGTCCCATCCCAGCAATCCACCCATCCATCCATCTATCTATTCCCCGTGCTCTCTACACACCGAGGCAGAAGAAGAAGCCGAAAAGGTAGTCCTGTTGGCCGATGGACATGAGGACCATCTCGACAGTGAACAGCACTAGACACAACATGGTCAAAATGTTGAACTCGTCGTCATGTTCCTACACACACATACACACACATTCACAACGTCGGACAGTCATCTCCTCCCTGTCTCCCTGCAGCCACCACACTGGCCCACCGACCGCATCTGCGGCTGCCGCCCAGATGTCTTTGCCAAACAGGGCAAAAAGCGTAAGCAGAGTCATGAAGAACGTCACGAAACCGTTTTCAGTGATCTCCCGACACACCACCTGCCACAGCAGTGAGTCAGAGACATTAATGCAGACAGACCACTCGAGACATTTGCTGCTCCAGAGCGTGTGCATATGCACCATAATACCTACCTACCTACCTACCTTGTAGTAGGGCTCAGGAGTGGTCTGCCCGTCCATATACAGACTGGTTGCCTGGCTCTTGGCGTCCTCCTCATCGGCCCAGGTCGTCAGCCTCCCCTTGGTGGCCGCACGGTGGGTTATCAGCCCCTCGACTGACCCGAAGGTCTTGGCCTTGGCGTAGAAACCATCCTCCCCATCAGCGCCGGCCGAACGGTGGCTGTCATCTTCCCGTATGTTGACGCCCGCGCCTTTGGGACTGATAAGGTGAGGGGAGGAGTGGGATGACTGCCCGAGCTCGGCCACGGCAGGGAAGGCCGCAGAGGCAGAGGACGAACTTGCCGATGAGGCGGACGAACTACCGGGGTCACCAGCAGTGGACTGAAGAGACAATGACGATGGAGTATCTATCATAGGTATGGATGAGGGTCGCTTGTGTTCGCTCGCTTACGTCCTCGTTTCCCCAGTGTGGGCTCATGCAGTGGTTGGGTATGTGCAGCAAAGGACAAAACCCCTCGCCCCTCTCAGTCAAGTCGAGCCGATCAGCATGTGTGCAGAACAGGGGGGTGTCAGCGGAGCAATCAGAGCCCCTCGTCGGAGGGCCGCTCGAGGAGAGGGACAGCTGCACGGGAGAACAGCTGGCCTCTGCGGACTTGTGTCCTTCTGCCGTTTCGTAAGCCGGGAGTCTCCTGTCCATGCGGCTCGAGCTATGTGGGGTGGGGCCGCGGCGCCCCACACAGGAACGATGAGCCCCTCACCTTCTGCGCCAATCAGGTGTCTGTCAAAACTCGCCGCTCCAGAGAAGGGGAGAAAAGGGAAAAGTCGCGTCCGTTTGGAAGTAACGACAAACGGACAAAAAACGGGTCTGTTGCCCCACTACAAAATGGCTTTGTCATTTCATCACGCTTTTGGCCATCTGTGCACCGAATTGACTGATCTTCGCCTTCAGCTCGTCACTGAGGCGGTCTGCTCCCTCGGCGGTGGTGGCCTCCACATAAAGCCGACACACGTCCTCAGTGCCCGACGGGCGGATGAACGCCCGAGCACTGTAGCCATCCCCGTGCTGGGCGATGAGTGAGGAGACGGCGGTGTCGACTGATGCCTGAGTGACAGCACGACACGTGCCCGATGGATGCTTGTGTGGGTGAGGCAGCCGTGGTTTCCCTTGCCTGCAGCTCAGTGGGCTGGGTGAGGGTCTTCTCGTGCTCTGGGTGGGGCTGTAGGCGATTCAAGACCCACCGGGGCAGCGCCACCTGGACGGACGAACACACAAAATGAACAATGGACAAACAAAGCGCGTGTGTGGACCGTGGATCTGTTGGGTGACCTTGGTTTGTCTGCAGGGCAACTCTGTGTAGAGGGCCGCCCAGTCAGCAAATGACATGTTGAGGTACCTGTAGACAGACAGACAGAACAAAGGGGTGTGCAGAAGACATCAGATCAGCCTCCTCTCATCTTTACTTGAGTGCCGCCTCAGTGGCCAGGAGGTCGGCCAGTGCGTCCCCAGTCGTCTGGTTGAAGATACCCAGGAAGGCCACCAACCTCTCGTAGGCTCTCTCGTCGCGCCCCTCCACCACGCTTGCCCACTCGCCCAGCCTTTCCCGCTTCACCAGCACCGTCCCATGGCCATTGGCCTCGAAATACACCCCGACGTCGTATTCCTCAGCTGCCCTGTGCAGGTGCTTGACGCCCGTCTTGACGCACCTCACATCCACGTGAGGCAGCTGATCAAGGAAGGCGGTGGAGGCGCCGTTGGCGTAGGCCGTCTGGACAACGCCCACCCGCAGGCCCTTGCCCTTGTCTTGCAGGTCGATCTCGGCCAGCATCCGCTGAATGGCAGTGCAGTAGAGGGCGGCCATCTTGTCACCGTCACACAGAATGAGGTGGTCCGACTCCCCGCCCGGAGAGAAGTACACCAGCCGATCGGCGTCGCCGTCCATCGAGCAGCACCTCTTGCCCACCATCTCTGCAGCGTCGAAGCCTCGCGGCAGTCTTTGCATCTTCTGCACGTACTCAGCACCGCACTCCTCGTTGAGCTGGTCTGTCGGCTGCGTGCCGTCGTTGAGCAGCGACAGCGAGAGAGGGGATGGGGAGAGCGTGGCGCTGAGGTGCTCGCCTAGCGGAGCGATCTTCAGGGCACCCACGCCGTTTGCCGCATCGACATAGAGGGATGAAGGGGCGGGGGCGGGGGAGGGGGAGGGCGGCAGCAGCGACCAGAACCTGGCAAAGGCGCCCCCAAAGTGCTCGAAGTAGACCGACTCGCCTATCCTTCGCCCCTCAGCTCCAGCGGCATTGCACTGTTGCACAATGAAGTGCAGCTGGGGCGTGGTCACCTCACCCAGGTCGACGATGCTCTCCACTCCCATGAGCTGAGCCCCGTCCTTGACCGCCTTGACGAGCCTCTCCGACGACTGCCGGGTGTCCTGCCCGACCACCACTCGCCCCCCGCCACCATTGGCCACTCCTGGCTGTGCTTCAATCTTCTCGAGCAACCGCCGCAGGCCCTGGACAGCATCGTCTGCATTGACAAACTCTGTCAGAATGGGCTCCATCGACTGTTCCAGCATGCCGCCAGTCGGGTCGACGAGCTTGATGCCGTTGTCCGGCTCCACATTGTGCGACGCCGTGACCATCGCCCCGACAGTCTGGTTGGTCTTGACGGCCCGCAGTGCAGCGAAGATGCCGCACCGGTGCATGGCGTGCAGGAGGACGGCACTGTTTGCGCGGAAGCCTGCTGTGCCGTAGGGCAGAGGGGGAGGGGGAGAAGAGGAAGGGGGATGGCCTGAGAAGGCTGCTTGCAGATCCGCATCGGACGGGTGGTGCATCGCGATGGAGGTCATTCCTCTGCTTCACTTCAGTAGCAGCTACACCCAATCACCGCTCTCACTTTCACTTTCCTCAAAAATTGCTTCAGGGTTTCCTTTTTCAGGGTTTCAAACCCTGCACCCCGCGAGCTAAGCGAGGAGGTCGGACCGAAATGCGGCGTGAGATGCGGACTGCAGCAGTCCCTTCAGACGAAGGAGCATCTGAAGATGATGAATCACGCAGCGAGCTGGACACACTGACGGCTCCTTCCTTCCCGGCCGAGACGGCGGAGAGGGCTCAGTCGGGCGGCGAGGGGTGGAAGTACCGCAATGATCTGCGGTCCCTGCACCAATGGCGGGTTATCTGCATCGACATCGACAGATTCCGCACAAACAACAGAGATCTGGTGGGTGGAGAGGCGGCATCCATCCATCCATCCATCGCAGTGCATTGCTTGTGTGTTCCTTGTGTGTGATCTGGCCTTGGCAGTTGAAGCAGAAGATCCGTCACGGCGTCCCCGATTGCCTCCGCGGCTTTGTGTGGCAGAAGCTGGCAGCCTCGCGGAACCTCTTCAACAAACACCCTGAGGGACTCTATCAGGTCACCGGACAGACAGACAAGCAGACACGCAGACGCGCGTGTGTATACGTCTGTGTGTCGGCGTCATTCAGCGTCTGCTTCGCGAGCCCGAGGCTGTGTGTGAGGGTGACATCTCGCGTGACATCAGCCGCACCTTCCCCAAACACTTACTCTTCAGAGAGAGATCGGGGCTCGGGTCAGCACAGCAAGCACAGCCGCCCCGGGCTGCCTCTGCTGGACAAGTACTTTTACCAGGTCACACATACACTGACAAGAGATGATCATCAATTCACCACCGTGTGTCTCGTTCCCATCTGTCTGTGTGGGTGTCAGTTCCAGCGCCTGTTGCAGGCCCACATGCCGCGCCTGCACGACCACCTGGTGGGCATGGCAGACAGACACCATCAACCATGTCCCTCCCTGCTGTTGTCTGTATGTTGTACGTGTGGTGTGTAGCGCGCCGAGAATGTCGACGCGACCATGTATGCGTCCCAGTGGTTCATGACCGTCTTCACATACAACTTCCCTTTCGAGGTCACACACAGAGGGAACACACAACAGACCGACATTTATGATGCACCCACCATTGCACCGCACCCCCGTGGCTGTGTGTGTGCATCTGTGTGTGTGCAGGTGATGGTGCGTGTGTGGGACATCTTCCTGGCGGAGGGCATCAAGATCGTATTTCGAGTCGCCCTGGCCACCGTCACCCTCCAACAAGGTCAGCAGCCGAGCCGAGCCGACACACACAGAGCCTCCGGGTGGGTGCATTGGTCGATCCGTCGATGGTTGACGGCTGCCTGCCTGTCTGTCTGTCTGTGTGGTGCAGATGAGCTGTTCAAGGAGTCCTTCGAGGCCATCCTGCACCGCCTCAAGTGCTCACCCACCACACTCAAGGTCAGACACTCATGCCATGCTCACGACGACACATTCGAATGCTCTGTGTGTGTGTGTGTGTGCGCGTCAGGCCGAGGCTCTTGTGCAGACGGCTCTGTCGATAAAGATACCCATCGGGGTGCTCAGGGTGAGTCAGTCAGTCAGTCAGTCAGCACATAAGACATGCAGCACTCAGTCAGCTGAGCTACCAACCCCACGACGGACGGCACATGGACGTGGCGCATGGCATGCAATCCAATCAATGCCTTCATGCTTGCAGGAACTGGAGAGCGAATATGATGACAATCGCCGGCAGCCCACCTGAGCTCGTCCCATGCAGATCAGCCCCAAGCAGGAGAAGGCCTGGGCTTGGAAGGGAGCGGTGCTGATACGGCGAGGTGGATATGTTGTTGTGGCCGCTGTGCATACGTTGTCGAGCGAGGACTGGCTGCAAATGACTGGCGCGTTAGTTAGAAATGCCGCTGCTCAAATGGGGAGACAGACAGACAATGCGATAAAGCCGATCCGACGACCTATCTAGCTGTGTCTGTACAATACACCTGGTTGCCTGCCCTGTCGTGCATGAGGCTGGTGGGTCTCATCCGACCTGACTGGGCGGACGTCATGCTGGCCGTCGACGGACTGGAAGACGGGCGATTGGCCAGACTTCTGCTTCGAGTGTGTGGATCGGTTGGGTGGCGGCTTTGACGTGAGGTGTGCGCGTGTCACGCAGACGCACGGACAGGCTGGTGACGGGGGGGCGGAAGGAGTGAATGGATGAGTAGTTGAGTTGTGCTAGGTGTGTGCCTGTGCTACAAGGTGAGTGTGTGAGGTTTTATCGACCTGACTAAGTTTGTCGTCGGTTGTGGGAATTCTCTTTCGACATGTGCATGCCACATCCATCTGTCTATGCGATCGATGCAGACAGACCGACGGGGGCAGCGGGTGGATGAGATAGATGGGTGTGCATGTTGGGAGGAGACATGTTGGGAGGAGACATCGACGTTCGGACGGGTGACGTGACCTACCTGACAGTCAGTGGAGTGAAAATCCTGAGATCAAATGGTATGGTCCTGGACCGACTGGGCCGTGGGCAGGCGCTGTCCATTGCATGATGATGACACTGACTGCACCGATGGATGGAATCGCACTCACTCGTGAGAACCCCACAGTCCAGTGTCTGACGTCAGTCCCTGTCTGCCACCCCTTGTTCAATTTGGTACGACAAGAAAGAAGAGATGGAGTTGCTGAGTTGGATACACGTACGTACGTATGTGTGCATTCCAATGAGTGGTTAGTTGAGTGTCACACTGACTGTCTGTCGAGCATCCATCCATCATGCATGCCATCACAGACAGGACCACCAAGGTGAGTGCACACGCACACTGCTGGCTGAACTGCACGGAGCCGTACAGAAGACGCCCAGTCACCCCACCACCACCCCAGGCGGCTCACAAACTCGCATGACGTGCCCACATGTGGACAGTTATGCATGCCGGCAAGCAGAGGGCACTCGACTGACTGACTTGACTGCCTGGCTGGCCGTGGCTGCACTGCACTGCGACCCACGGCCGGGCCCCTTTGCCCCTCAAATGACAGAAACGGGATTTAGGAAGGAACCAGAATGAGGAAACTACCTACCTCCTTCGTCTCGTCTGTATGCGTCCATGCCATGCCATGCCGTGCCGTGTGGTGTCAGTAAGTCTGTCGGTCACGTCGATATCCCCCCCTCGCTAGCTCTGCATACATATGAATCCGCTGTGTGTGTGTGTGCTGTTACTTACTGTGTGCTGAGTGAGGCAGCCAAAACGAGACAGACTCCCACCAGTAAGTCACTCAATTCGTGGCGTGCATTGCAAGCATGCGCAGCTGACTGAATCCGTGTGTGTGGCGAATACGTACGTTAATCAATCTGCAAAAGTACTCAGACCGCACGGGGGCGGACAGACAGACACATACAATTCGGTAATTCTTTTCGAAAATGGCGCGGCACATACACAACACCGTCACACAATGAATGGGGAACACGTACAACACAGACGTCCACCCACCCACCACGGGCGTGTGTGGTTCGTGCACGAGAAGACGAGGGAGGCACCACATGCCATATAGACATGCCATCAGACACCCATCACACCACACCACACCACACCACCACATCAGACCACTTAATTCACCAACACGCTGCATGAGCCACATGCATCCATCAGACAGGTGTACGTACGTTGGTTTAATATGTCTTGTCTTGTCCAGACGACATAGAGACACGCAGACGGACAGCAGCAGCACAGCACCACATAGAACGGCCAGCCTGCTTGCCCAGACGTCTGTCTGTGTGCACCGCACTGCAACTGCACGCCCTGCGTGTTGGGGTTGTCGACGGACCATCGACCGATCCATCGATGGATCGATGGTCCATCGATCCTTCCATTCTGTTGATTGCAAAAATACCACAAAGCGAGCGACAAGAGGAGAGAGGAGAGCCACAGAGGGACGAAAGGAGGATGCAATCTACCTACCTACCTACATGCGCACGTACACCACCCACCCACCCGCACCACCTCATTCAGCCGAACGAACAAAGGCGCTGGCTGGCGATGAGTAAGTGAAGGAGTGAGTGAGCCGACTCGACACACGTACATAGCATAAGATAACATGCAAAGACACGGCCCGTCACGTCCACGGAGTGAGCCCAGTGCAAGCACGAGGGAGAGGGAGGGATGCGTGGCTCGGGAGGTGTTACCTCTCGCACACACACACACACACTCACCTAGACAGAAGACACTTGTTAAGCGAGCTGAGCTGGCTTGCATGGCATGGAAAGGGAGAGGGAGAGCATACGGACCACACACAACACAACACAAGGCAGTGCACTGACAGCAACAGAAAATCAAACAACACAACGCACTCACCAGCTGTCTGGCGGCCGAGAGCCAGCTGACTGACTGTGGACTAAAAACTTGCAGCACACCACTGCGCACGCACACACGATACACACGCACACAGACAGGCAGACAGACAGGCAGACAGACGGCCACACGGACAAACATACCAACAACAACAACAACAACACAGAGACAAAGAAGAAAGAAACGCTCGATCGACTTCCTCTCACGCAGTTAGTTGACTCCACACACAAAGAGGTGGACAGGCGCACAGACAGACACACGGACAGACAGACAGACGCACAGAATAATGCCCTTTGGCCGCTCACTGAGCCCCCTCACACAGCAAACACAGCAGGTGGGCAAAACAAACAAGGAGCGAAAGGGACCTAGCTAGCTACGCAACGCACACACACTGACTGGTTCGCTGGAGGAAATTAACACAACACAACAGGACACCACGATAACAGGCAAGAACACTTGACTGACTTTTGAAATGCCCATACGGCCGCCGAATGACAGATGCTGTCGTGTGTGTCCCACGCACGCACGTCACGTTAGCAACGGGTATGTATGTATGTAGGAGTGAAGCACTTCTATCGAAAAAGACGAAGCACGCTCGCAGCAAGTGTTTAGGGGAAAAGTGCCTGCCATCGAGAGTAGAGTAGTCGGTATGTGTGCATGCCCACCCCTCACCCACCCTCCCCCTGACCATATGGACTCACGTGATTGATTGATTTGATTCGTGGGCGTGACGTGCACACAGCCGGGTAAACACATGACTGACACAGACAGACAGACAGGGAGAGAGTGCCTGCACGATAGCATAGCAGTAGTAGTAGGACCAGCCAGTAGGGTAGGAGGTAGTAGTGAGTGTAATGATTGGCGAGTCAGTGAGTGGTGTATGCCTTAAATCCGACTGACTGACATGGTTGTCTGTCTGTCTGCCTGCCGACCTCTCTCTCTCTCTCTTGCCTGCCTGCCTGCCGTTATGTGCACACGCAGCTGGGTACTCACCGAAAGAGATCACGTCATGTCACTGCACCGCACCGCGCGCACACCACACCACACCACCCCACGACCCAACACAACCCAGGCAGCACACGCAGCAGCAACAAAGAGGTCAGACGGCTTTTCGGTACGCACGCAGGCGCCGCGCTTCGCTGACCTTCTGCGGGAGAAGGCTCTGCAGTGAAGACGCGGTTGATGGAAAATGGAATAGCAAAGCAGCAAGTAGTGACACCGCCATAACACAACACAACACTCCACACAAGGAGAGTAGGATAGTCTCGCTCACACCTCTCTGTCCATGTCTCTGTCTCTGTGTGTCATCAAATTCCCACCTGCTTGACCTGACGCAGCAGCGTGGCTTTAATTCTCGTGCACGTGTGCGTGTGTGGCGTGGATTGGATGGGGTGGCTTCTCACTCAGACGTCTGACTGACAGGCGGCTCATCCATGGTGGCCAGACAGGCCATGTATGTGAGCACCCACAGTGTGCGTATGAATCGGATGTGATATCGCCCAGCCCAGCCCAGCCTGCCTGCCTGCTTGTTGGTGGTCTGGTCGGCACCGATCATCGGCACAAAACGCCGTGAGTTACAATGAGTCAGTGGGAGGCAGAAGTGGGTGCACCTGTGGTATAAACAGTGGGTGTGTACCTACCTGTGCACAGGCGTATGCAGGCCAGTGAGTGTGGCACGCAAGACGTAGACGTGGAGCGCCATTTGCACCATTCTCGTGTGTGTGTGAGTGTGTGTGTGTGTATGGGGGTGGTGGGTCTGCCTGCAATTGAAAGGGCAGGTGCAGAGCACTGCTTAGGTAGTTGGTCAGCAAGCCAGCCAGCCAGTAGTACTCAGCCTCTGCAAAGAAATGAAATGCCACACCCTCGCCCCGCCCCCCCTCCCCTGCCGCCTGGCAGCCAAACCAGCCAGCCGATGTTCAGACTCCTCTCGAGCAAACAACTGCTGATTGAATGGGTAATGCGTGTATGTATGTATGGACCCATGAACGAGTCAGTCAGTCCATCCCCTCCCCTCCCCTCCCTCCTCACAAACCCATCATCCGCCAACAAATTCCATGCATCATCATGTACGTCTGCATGAGATATCATAGCTATGCATAGCATTTCAGAGCACGTCACTCACCATGACCGAAGAACAGTCCCGACAGACAGAAGAGTGAGCAAAACCGTGGGCGGCGACGGCAGGGGGACGCGGCGGCACCGCAAACCCCGCCCGCCAGTCGGTATGTATGTAAGAACACTGCACGCCCGCCACGCCACTCGGGCAACACAGCACGGCATCGCATGAATGACAAGACACAACTGAGGAAGGGCTGTGCTTGCCACGGGTGCGGTGCGGTGCGGTGCGGCCGTCGTGGTGGGCGGGGGGTGTTCTACCGCGCAGGCATGCCAGCGTCATTCAATCTGGCGAGTGAATGAGGCGGGTGCACTGCACGGACACGGAGACGACAAACCAACCAATGAAGAAATGGGTCGACTGACTGACTGACGGACTGAATGGATAGATAGGTACAAACCTATGCACGCAAGCACGCATGCATGCAGACACTCACTTCACTCACTTCAGTCACTCAGTCACTTAATAAGCAGCAAGAAAATATACAGCAAGCAGTTAGTGGCAACAAACGGACAACCGCATGTATCTTGGATGGATGTATGGATGTGAACGTGTTGGGTTCCACGATGTGACGAAAGATAGATAGACACGGACGGACAGACAGACGCTCTCATAGACGGACAGACAGACGGACGGACGAACTGACAAGACAACAAACCAACTGACCAACAACGACCAAGCCAGCAGCACCATGCGCACAGGGTGCGGTGCATGCATACAAAGGCCAAACAAGCGAGGCATGGTATGAGTGTGCCATCCCATCCATGGTACCCACGCAAGTCAGTCACCCACGATGTATGTTTGTATGTGTTCACGTACCGTACGTATGTGTGCAGGCGTGCAGTGTGCTGGCTGGTCGGGCAGCCAAACAAACGACGACCGCAGCGATATACAGACAGACAGGCACAAGACACACACAAACACCAGCTGGCGGGCGGGCAAACAACACGGCAGCAGGCAGGCACACTGCAGGCAGGGAGGCAGGCAGGCACTACCGATATGACATACGTATGTACACCTACCTGGCTGGCTAGCTTGACGGACCAAGAGAAATAAGAGAAAAAGGCAACGAGTACGGACGGACGGACGGATGACGGACGGACCCCACCGGCCTGCCACGCCACACGATACATCAGAAATCACACCATGGCTGTTCGACACAACAAGACGAGACAATCCTGGCTGTACGTGTATCTGTGGGTGTGTATACGTACGTCGATCGTGGCCCTTAACGCACCCCTCGCTCGTCTCGTCTAGCCAAGCGATCGATCGATCGATCGAGCGATGGATGGATGGATGAATGAGTGAGTCAACAACCGACCGCTGGCTCGACCGAGACACAAGCAGCAAACACAGGCAATGAAGCAACAGACAGATGACTGACTGACAGCACACGAGCAAACAGTCAATCATCACTCTCCACGACCGGCCCGGCTACACACACCACACGACACAACCTGGATATGTGCCAACAGCCGCCCCTTTCCCCCCCGCCCCGTCCGCTCTGATCGAGTGACTGGCTCAATTACACCTCAGACCAAAGCCGGCTACAAACCTCAACACCACTAAGGTACAGCCTACCACCTACCAACCTACCCACCCACCCATCCCTTCCTCCCGCCCTCCCTTGGTTGTGTGTCAGTCTACATGTCGTCGTCGTCCTCGACAACGCTGTCGCCCTCCACCTCGCCCGCCTCGTCACCTCTCGCTGCCTCGATGGCCTCCTCAGCCTCAGTCGGCGACGGGTCGGCCTTGGTCGGCTCCTCCGCCGCCGCTGCTGCTGACTCGGCTGCTATCTCTGTCGCCACTTCCGTTGCCAGTGCCAGGGCATCCCGGCCGGCTGATAGGGACGCTACGGGAGACGTCTGCGTGGACGAGCGGTTGTCGCCGGACGAGATGGAGGGAGCCGCTGCCGCTGCTGCTGGTGCTGCCGCCCTCTCGCTGTCTGCCGCCACGGCCGCCGCCTTCTTGTGTGCGTGTCTGAGCAGCTCCTGCGACACCGTTGTCCACGTCTGCGTTGGCATGGGTGTGGAGTGGAAGTCGGTCTCCGGGTCGAGCGGCGCGGCGAGGCCGGCCTGCGACCTGAAGAACTGGTCGTAGTACAGGCACACCACGGTGGGGTCAGGCGACGGCGGGCTCTTGAGGAGGATGTCGGTCAGCTGCTGCATGTACTGGTGCGCCTCGTGCCATTCGATGCGGCCAACGATGGCCATGGCACTCGTCCACACCAGCACACCGCGGAACAGCTCGCTGACTGACTTGACGCTCACGCTGCTGTCGGGAACCAGAGCCAGAGAAGGGGACAGCCGGTCCTCGAGCTCGTGGTCGGCGAAGCGGTACTGGGCGAGCGATGGCGCATCGAATGCCGGCATGCCCTCGGCCTTGGCCGCCGACTTGAGGAGGCGTGTGATGGGCCACGCGACGGCGTCACCGGTGACGAAGAGCGGCATGTCGTCGATGTGGACGGTGTGGTTGATGATGCCCTCCGAAGACCCAGCAGCCAGGAAGCGCATCATTCTTCGCTTCAAAAATTCGTGGCGTTTAGCCCGCTTGATGCGGCTCAGCACACTCGCCAACGACGCGTAGATGTCCACTGGCCCCTCCGTCCCAACCTGCAGGCCGCCGCTGAGCTTCTCGATGACCACACGGTTGAGTGCCTCGATGTCGGCCTTCTCGGCGAGCTCCAGCGTGTCGAGCGATCGGCTCTTGGCGGCGGCATGTTCCTTCTTGCTGAGCTGCTTCTGCATCATCTGCTTCTCGAGCTCGCCCTCGGGCACGGCAGGAAGGGACGTCTCCGACAGCCCGCGACGAGAGCTGTCCCGCGTGGCGGACGTGTGGCTTGCGCTGCGGCTGACCGATTGCTCGGCCACCGATGGGCTGACGCCGCTGGTGACGGCCGCCTCGTTCTTCTTGCCCTCCTGTGCCAGCAGGTCGTGCAACAGCGGCAAGGACACCACCTCGATGGGATTGGCATCAGCCAGGGGGGGCGAGTAGGGGGGCGGCCCCTCCGCGCCGCCGCTTGCCTGCTCGCCGGGCAGCGACTGGGGGCTCATGACGTCGATGTCGCCCAGAGGGGGAGATGACACGTGCGATGCGACTGGGAGGGTCTCGGCCGATGTGGGTCCCTTCATCCGACGCTGGTACTCCTCTGCCGCCTGCTCAGTCCCGGCCATCGACCGCCCCGCCAGCAGTGACTCGAGAGAGAGGACGTTCTGTGGCGAGTGGAGGGGTGGAGGGGATGTGGCGACCAGGCCAGGTGGTCGCTGCACGAGCACCTCGTCCTTGCCCATGCCCCACACCACCGTCTGACCGCCACCGCCACGTCGCAGTGACAAGGCATCCTCCCCCTCGGGCCCCGAGGTGGGCGATCGGATGTTGGGCTGGTTCTGCATGCGGCTGTAGGCTGCACGCGTGTACTCCTGCATGGTCTTGGCGCTTCTGTCGGGCTCGGGCCCGAGAAGAGGCGGCAGACCGCCGCTGTTGGCCGCTGGTGTGGGCGTGGCGAAGCCGGGGGGAGGGGCGGGGGTGGTGGGGCGCTTCTGTTGCTGCTGCTGGCCGACCTTGTGCAGGAATGCTCTGAGCAAGGGAGGGAGGAGGACCCAGCAGATTGAGAATGTGCACCCCTCCCCTTTGGTGTGCTGCTCTTGCGGTGTGTTGACTTACCCTGGCACAACATCAGCCGGGGTGTAGGGGTCACGTGTGCGGATCAAACTTATCTCCTCAGACATGCCGTCGGGGCGCTGACGTATACACACGCACGAACGACACACATGTAGATTAGATGTCTATGACGGGCGTCCGTACGTGTGTCACTTTGATTGTCACCCTCCGTACCGTTTCCTTGAATGTAGTGGTGGATGCGCGTGCGAGTTTCTGTAGCTGTGCGGCGTTCTGGTAGCCGGGCGGCGGTGGAGGCGGCTGCATGCTCGTCGTCGGGTTGCGGGTGCGCACCTCCTCCTTAGCATCAGCCAGACCAGGACGCAACTCTGCAGGTAGAAACAGACGCCACGTAGGGAGGGAGGGGAGTCAGCTTGTTCGTTCGTGGATCGATTGCTGCGTACACACCTTCGTGTACATGTGCGAAGTTGCATTGGTCGCCTCGCCAGCACTTGCCCAGTGGATACCACGGACACCTGCAGGCATGACACATCCCGTCCGTGCACAGACAGACAGACGCACGGCCCACACAACAACACGACACACAGATAGATGGAAAGACCGATGCAGAACCCACCGCTTTCTGGCCTTGGCAGTGGTTTTTCCTGTGGCCCGTGTCGGGACGTACATTTTGGTTTTGTAGCATATCATCCTGCGCACTTCGCGTGCGACCCCCTCCTTCTCGCCCTTTTTCTCCTCCATCATCTGCTGCTGGTGGGCCATGTGCTGCATCGGCATCTGCATCGGGGGGTGCTGCTGCTGCTGCGGGCGGTGGTATGTCGGCTGCGTCTGCTGACGCGACAGAAGCATCGTCTGCCCACCCGTGTAGTCGATCACCGACACCTCCCTCTCATGCAGGCCCTCCAGACCGGCGGTCATCGCCCGCCCGTACCCAGCGACAGCCTGGGCGGCGGGGTTCATGGTCATCTGGCGGCTGGTGGTGGTCATGTGGTGGTTGCTGCCGGGGGGAGGGGGTGGAGGGGGCTGGGTGGCCTGCGAGGCTGGCGAGTAGGTCTGTTGGGAGTGGGGCGAGAAGCCGGGTGGTGCGTCTTGTCGGTCGGCGCCTCCCGTATCTCGCCGCAGGCTCCTGAGCAGGCCGCTGAGCGCCTCGACGTTGTCGTCGGACTTGAGGATCTCCCGCAGCCTCAGCAGCGAAGCGGCGTTCCTCACATCGAAGTCAGCGCCGAGTGCGGCCGCCATGGTCGGCTGTGAGATCTCGGTGTTCGTGTTGGGTGGTGTCTCACGACGCTGGGGTTGCTGTGTATTCGTTGGCGTGTCGACCAGAGAATCAACGAGGGAGGACAGGTGTGGCTCGAGAGGCGGAAGCTGGGCGCTCGAGGGTGGAGTGTAGGAGGCCGTTTGCTGAGTTAAGAAGCCGGACGGCTGACCCCACGCCTGTGGGGAAGTCGATGACGTCCCGCCGGTCATCTGGTTCAGATCCATCTTGGTAACGCTGGAAATCTACAGCACATCCTCAGCAAGACCCGCTTGCCCAAGCAGCTTGCGCGCTCAAAGCGGCCTAGGGCTCCCTGAAACCGCTGCTCCTTTCTCGGAAGCTCGCACCCGGGAGACGAGCCCGTTTCAGAAAAACGCGCTGTTGCGTTCCCGACAGCCCCCGTACATCGCAGACGACGAGCAGCAGCACAGGCTCCCGCCCTGCAGACGTACCTGACCAGATCCTCCGCTGACCGTTAGCATCAACCTCTCCGACTGCAACTGTCTCAAGGCTGCAGTCCCCCGTCCACAATGAGGGTTGTCGCTTCTCTGCTTGCCGTGGCTCTTCTCGCCGCTGGCGCCTTCGCGCAGACACAGACGATAGCGGAGATTGTCGACTCTTCTGCGGTGGGGGGATGGCCTGTGCTGCAGATCTGACGTGCTGGGCATATCTTGGTGACTCTGCGGCTTGCTGCGTGTCTGTGTGTCCACAGGTTGCCGGTCTGCTTAAGTCGCTGTTGGTGCGTGCGGACCTGCTGTCGTCCCTCAACGACACCGAGTCGGAGCTGACGCTTTTCGCGCCGACAGATGAGGCCTTCAGCGCGCTGCCCGAGGCTGTGCTGGACAGCATCGTGAGCAACAACACGCTGCTGCGCGAGGTGCTGCTCTACCACGTAGTGCAGTCGGTGGCCCTTGCAACCGACCTGCCCGAGGGCGAGACGACCGTCGAGAGCCTGCAGGGCGACTCACTGGTCATCAGGAAGGAGGGCGACGTCGTCACAGTCAACGGAGAGGAGGCCGCTACCGTCGTCCAGGTGGGAAGGGGTGGGGTGCAGTGCAACAGCAAGCGAAAGAGAGCCCTCGAGATGCATACGTTTCTGTGTTGTGTCGTCAGGCTGACGTTGCCGCGTCGAACGGTGTTGTGCACGTGATTGATGCGGTGCTGGTGCCCCCCGGCATCACGCTGGGTGAGGGCCCGACCACTGCTCCCGCTCTCGAGGCCGGCGACGAGGAGGCCGCCGCCGCCCCCAAGGAGTCGCCCAAGGACGCCAAGGCTCCTGGCGGCGACACGCCGATGCAGCAGACCGTTCTGTCGATCATCGAGAACGGGGAGCAAACGACGCAGCTCAAGGCCCTCCTGGAGACCTACGAGATTGCGGATTACCTGGAGCCCGGTGAGGTCTACACGGTGTTCGCGCCGACCGACGAGGCCATCACACAGGTCGACCCCGCCACCTTCGAGAGGATCGCCACTGACGACGCACTCGCCACCGCAGTGCTGCAGTACCATGTCGTGAGGGGCGCACTCGGCACGCAGGAGCTGGCCGCACAGGACGGCGGCGAACTCGAGACACTCGAGGGGTCCATGCTTCCCATCGTCGTCGACGGGGATAACCTCACTGTTGGTACGTTGAGATATATGCTTACAAGACCGAGGATGCACTTGTCAAGAAGCGCCGCCTCAAATGCGTCTGTCTGTGTTGTTGGGGTGTGGTGTTTGCAGGCGGCTTCCCTCTGGTGCTGGACTCTGAGCAGCAGGGCACGGATGGCTATGTGCATCTGCTGCAGGGTGTGCTGGTGCCGCCCTCCGTCGCGGAGCAGGCCGAGGTCACACCCGCACCTTCGGAGGACGCCAATGTGACTGAGCCTGCTGCAACTCCCAGGGAGGCCCCCACTGAGGCCGACGAAGAGGGTACCGCATCCAACGCATGGGCAGTCGCCGTGTCCCTCGCCACTCTCGCGGCGGCTGGGCTCATGCAGATCTTTGTCTTGTAAAGCAACTGGCGGTTTCTGGTTGACTGACTGGTGCAGTGGGGGGCTGGCCTGGGTGGTGTGGGCGCGGGGCAGTGTGTGTCGTCACGGGGCTGAAAGGGAGAAGTCTGTCTTTTTTTCAAGGCCTGTAGACGCTACGCTGCCTTGTGGTCACCGATGCGGCCTCCGCCCGCTGTGTTGTGTCTGTGTGTATGTATGTGACGTGACAGGCAGAGCGGGTGAGGGTGTGTGTGTGTGGTTCTTTATCAATATATTTCTATTTAGGCAGCATGGCATGACATGCATCCACGAGTGCGTGTGGTGTGTGGACACACCAACCAACCCTCTGTGTGTTCTTCTTCCGTGGTTGCTTTATTTCGTTGCCTTTTTCTTCGCTCAAACCTGTCAATCAACCGACCCCCAGCACAGAGGCAGGCAGAGCAGATTCTGATTGACAGGGAGATCTGATTGACGGGGGGGGGGGGGGGG